ACTTCTACACATATGACATATCAACACGAATCCACCATATGATTATTACAAAACTAATAAAGGATGATTAAGTCATTAATTACTGTAAAGAACATTATGCGATTATAAAAAAATCTAATATGCATTCAATTAAATTTTGGATGAATAGATTAATATTCCTGACAAAACGCTTCATGGTAATATCTAGTTATTAAGAACAGGCCGCTGACCCAGGATTATAGCAGGAAAATACATAATATAGGCAAAGAATGTCGTAAAACGTCAAGGGTAAGGTCAATTGAGACCTTTACCCATGCACTATATACGATTGTTGTTTTGAGGAATGAAAACTGGTGTTTGTGGGACATTTTCACTCAATCTGCTGATAATGAAACGTTCCTACGCGTGTTTATTCAAGCACATACTACAGGGGGGAGGATCGAGACATCGCGGGGTTACAAACTTTTCTTCCACTGATCTTAAATGTTTCCTGGATTGCGCATTATTTGGTAAATGAGAATAGGAAACGTCGGTCGTAAATGCCGATTTTAATCATTGTTCGCATCTATGGTACTAGAAAACAGAAAGAATTTAACCGATGTTCGTTTTAGGGTCGGACAAAAACAGCATTTTATGATTGAAAATGAAATGGTAAATTTTTTTAGTAAAAATCATATTTTTACGGAAATCGTTCGAACTAAGAACAGAAGCGCAATTTTCACATCTAATTGAGAAGCTATATAAGAAAGAAATAAGGAAGTTGTCAAGCAGGCTGTATAATCAAGTGTTAAGACTATTACCTGATACTGTGAAAATCCTTAACCTAGTGGAAACATTATGCGGAAATTCTGGTAATATTACGGTGTCAAAATAAGAACTTCCTGCATCCATCGTGCTGTAGTTTTCACTTTTTATTGTTTTTTTGTTTTCCAAAACTTCACTAGAGAGATGTCCATGGAAAATACAATGAACGTTGTGAGCTGTTAATGAGAGTAGGACAAGGATAGAACCGGCAAGGGACAGTGCGTTGTTCAAGGTCATGCAAGGACCAACAGCAAAACAAGAAGCTGCGATAATATTTAATCTGTAGACGGCTCGAGACACCTTGCAGAAAAAACTAGTTTTAAATAGGATCTATTCGATTCATACCGAAGTAAGCATTTCCCGTCTTAGCATGACTGAACACGCAAAATAATGATGCAGTAGTTAAAATGCTTCACTAGTAATACCAATTAATACTGAATACGGTGTATACGCTAAACATTACGTTCCAAGTCATGGGGCATGCACTCATTCCTCAAGGCTCTTCATTAATGGCTGATTTTTACTGTAGCGATTTGTGAAACAATCGGCTGAACCGATGAATAGGTTTCTGTTGATAAGTGTTTTTTCCATAACCTGACTAATCATATCAAAACTTGGAAATTTTAAAACGTTTACGTGCGTGTACGTAGATAAAAAAACGTGACAGTGGATATCAGCTTTAGCATACTATTCTTATTTCCCGTCATTAGGAAACAATGATGTTGAGAAACAATGAGACTATTTTCACTGTAACACTTTCATTGTTTGCTAGGAGCGGTTCCATTTCCTTTGACAAACTTCATGTGCATACAGTGCATAAAGCTAGCATATCGTGTGAATGCAATTTGTGAGAATTCTTTTTAAGCAGGCATTAAAATATTTGATTTAAAAAAGATAAAAAATCTTATATTAATAGAGAGTGTACCATTTTAACCGAAGTCGGACATGAATGACATTTTCTTACGCGATTGTTTAAATTTTTAAGGCAGAAGTTTTTTTACTAAAATACGCCCATCAAATTTTTACATCTTTAGATATATGCATAAGACTGACATAATACATACTAAGTATGGAGCATTAAAATATTTAGAAATTGTTAGTTGATGATGCAAATAGGTCATGATGAACAAGGTACAATTTAAGATAACTATTTACTAAGATATGCAATGCGTTGTGTATAAGTTCTGTTGTCAACTAGTTGTACTGTATTTAGTGATCTGGGGTCGGTTGTATGAATGTCGGATAGCGCTATCCAACGGATATAACTTTGATTAAATCTTAGTATTCCTAAACCAAGGATCCTCTTTGATAATTGTTGGTCCCAAAGATGAAATTTTATCGCTTTTCGAGCATTTTTAGAACGGTTGAAAAAATCACAATCCGGTGGATAGCGCTATCCAGCTTTCATAAAACTGGCCCCTGAATTTGACTTATTCAAAATCCTCTGACTCATTTGACGTATTATTATATATACTAGTGTGGTCCAGTGTTTCTTGCTGTGTTTTATTGATTTTAATTGTTTTCCATTGTATTATATTACAATTATTCCATTGTCAGCCTAATTAATTCTATTGTTTTCCATTGTGTTTAACTGATTTTAATTGTTATATTTCTTGTTTCCAATACGACGAAATGTCACAAGATCAACCATAATTAAATGCGGGGGGAAAACCATATTTATAGCACACGAATACGCCGAGGGTGACAATATATTTTATATCTTGTTCAGACAATATTGGCAGGTTAAATGGGGTAAAGGTTAATCTGTTAACAGCTTTTTTCCAAGTAACAATTGTTGTGTTAATCTGATACTTTCTATTTTTAATCAATTTTTCATCCGTGTAAAATAATTTAACTGGCAGGCTGAAGTTTTGGCAAGCCACACACTGACTATATATAGTAATGCGAGGAGGGGAATATAATGCTCAGCGCTAGTGATCATCTTTTGATGATCATCACGAACTTGGCTGGGTGTTATATCACACCGTACTCTCATTACGGCCTATTAATGATACATTATACTGTTCCAAATATGTATTAACCTGCCAATTTTGAAATATTCAGTTGGGCGGGGGATTTATCTGAGGAGTATTTATAGGATTGGCTTATCCTCTCTCAGGTCCTGATCTTAGACCGGGGTTCGTGAGTTATAATGTGGACAATGTGGTACTCCAAAATAGGGGCTACACCGGAAAGCTTTGGTCTGGCTTATAATTCATGATTTTAAAACTATGATTTCAACTGATATTATAAACACAATCAAGTATTATATACGCTAGTTACAGTCGTGTTGGTTGCAATATATTTTTCACGCGGAAGGGGGGTGGTTCTACAATTGTTCGCGAGCAAAATAATGAGTTTACGAATAATGAATAGCGGATTTAATTTTTGGGAGAGAAGGTCGCGATACTACAATGGAAACTCGTGTTTAATTAAGGCTAATGGTAATATGCATTTGGATTGATATGCTATATACCGCGTTCAGATGTTTGATTGTTTGAGATACGCACAAACATTTCATATTCAAACACAGTCAGCTGCTGGTTTTATATCGAAGAAAGCGTTTTATGCATATTTTTAGAACGCAAGCAAACTTTACTTCAGAATCCACGCTGCGAGTCTCAACACAACATTTCGAAAATGAACGAAACGTTAACGAAAATGATAACAGAGAAACCATTTCCATCATTGCTCCTGACTGTGGCTATCCCGACTTTCACAAGAACTGTATTTTAGTGACCCACAATATTAAATACATTATTACTCACACTGAGAGATATACATTAATGCACATACTGAGAGATAAATAATCCACATGCTAACCCTTTTTAAAAATATTCTGAGATGATCAGTATAGACTGACTGAATTTAAACATCGTTAATCTTCACTAAGCCGATTTTCTTCAAATCTAATATTCGAAACGCGCAATGAATGCTGAATAACGCTATTTGCGAAATATGCGCGCGAAATGTCAAATTAAAACGTTTTGCGCACTAAAACATCGCGATGTATGCTAATGTTGTTTTTCGGCAATTGCGAGAGCATAATATTGACATATTGGCCATTTTAGATAGCCATAGCGACTGAAAAACAACACGAAAATAAAAGATCTCACACTGTTTTTCCAATGTTTTCTTCAGTTTTATAGGGAAATGAAAACTAGAGAAGATCAAATGCTGAGTAAACTGGAAAAGGAGTGAATCTCATCCACCACATCTTCAGGATTAGTTTTCAGGAATTCGGAGGATATTACATCAGCCAGCTAGTTTCAATAATTCGATTCTTTGACCACATTTACCTGAACTCAATATGTGTGGACTATTCAAAACATATACAAAGACGTGACATCGTTTTCCCACTCACGTTGGCCACCATGCACCTAATGTACGATAGTGCTTAGTGAAACCCATCCATTTGAAGGCAGATCGGTCTTTAACACTTGTCGGCAGAAGCTGTGTCATCTTCAGATCAATATATTCATCATAATTCATCGCACTATTACACCCACTAATCTCCCCTGTGGCTCCCCAATTGGCGCAAATTAAATGCGCAATTGGATTTAATCCATTTAGATTTCCGGCGTTCAATCTTATAGAAGTATGTTAATTCTTCCGGTGAAGACGCTTGTTTGTTGAAATTCGCCGGATCAATCGCGCTAAGCCGTTTACCGCGCACACTCTCACAACAGACTATTTGTATATTTTAGTTTTACACCTTGACTATTATTAGTACTTTATATACAATATTAGAAATTTCAATAATGGAAGGTTAAACAATCAGAGATTCAGAAAACAAGAAGGCTGAACTGTATACACTATAAACACACTTTTACAATTGTCTGTTTACATTCAACTTTTCACCTTTTGAATGCACTCCTACACCTCGACCTACACAACTTTACAAGAGTAAGGAAATTCACCATGTAGGCTGCTTTTTCGAGGATTATTAATTGACTTCCTTTCAATCATCAAACTAGCCAATCTGCGCGTAAATTTACTCGAAATTAGAAATGTGTATAACTGTTGTTGCTCAACACAGTGGTGGACTATCGCAGATGCCCTCTCACAACGACCATTTTATCAAATGCCGCGCGGACGTGAATTGATATCAATTCTGTTTTTAACTGATACAGCGGATACAATCATCACAGCTAGCGAGTCAAAATTGAATACATCGTGCTGATTTTTAGAATTTATTTTCTATTCGTACTACTACTACTAATTTACAATATAATACAATTCACATTTAAATAGCGCAATGCTTAATAAGGGTTCAATATAAACAACATGGTCAGGTGTGAATATGATACATTATTTTACAACACAAAATCATTATCTATAACGAGTGAAGATATATGAAGGAAACAATTTTTCTATTTTCGTGACTAGAAAATACTTGAATACTTGCCGTAGGCAGTGACACATGTCATTGCACGCAATGTTTCTTACTGACCAACCTATTAACCTCTTCATCCGTATGCCGAGACATGTCAATCCTAACGACGCATTGAGCTGGGAATATAGGACAGGTTTCTTCCGATTTTTAGCGCTTTTTGGAGAAAATTTCGCTTGACGACGCCTTATAACGCTTTGTTTAATATCTACATTAAGTGGTTCAGCAGAGAAAAGAACTGTAAAATCAAAGAAACGTACAACATTAAACTTAGTTTCATGTCAAGTAAAGTTAAAATTTATTTACTGGCTATCCAGTCAGATCGCGGATCACGTGGTGAAAAATTCTATGCTCCGACGAATTTTTGAGGTAGAAATAGTTTGCGTAGAAAAGCACTTAAAACTTTAGAGATGAGTATTGTAACTCCGGGAATAATTTACAATTTATCCCAGATGAAAGCGCATTAATTAAATGCAAATTACGAGCAATGTGGAATTTCGATTCCACACCGGTACATCCCTGAGTTCATTCGCTCTTCGGCTTTGTTTAAACATTCTTCAACTTTTAACAGTGGGCCAAGCGCGTGCATTGATTGGCCATGTAAATGACAGTTGGAAATCAATAAAATTATCAGAGGGTTATTATTGTGACGAATTCTCTAGAACACAGTAAGAGATTGATCCATCGCTGCGTGCAATGACTTGTCTGCCTTTCACAGGGTCGGAGATGACATATGACTAATGGACTCGAAAACAGTGAATTCTGCATTTTACTATTTACAATATTACATTTAATGTTATTCAATGCATGGCCTCGCAATAGCCATCAATACGTGTGCATGAGACAGGCGCGAGTGCGCGGCCAAAGCTCTCATGAGACCATGACGATGCTGAGCCAATTGCTGTAGGCCATCGCACTACAATTTTTTCAGTAATAAAGTCTCGTTGGGTTGTACGGATACAGCGGCATGTTGGAATAAGTCACTTGCAAATTTGAGGTTGGACGAAATAGGCCGTAGTTTCCCGCTAGGGTACTAAATGGGGGCAATACACATTCCGTACGGTAGGGATAGCATGGGTCGCGAGGTATTCGAACAAACGTTCCAAATTCTCCAGGGAATCCCTGTTCCATGAGACCAAAATTTTGCGCCGTCATATTCTGCGTGGAAATGTTTTGCTTTTTCCATTTGGTGCGGCGATTTTGGAACCACGTTTTGACTTGAGTGTCGCTGAGGTTCAGAGATTTTGCGAGTTTGTTTCGTTCTGAAATTGTCAGGTATTTTTTATCGTCGAATTTTTCTTCCAAGGACTTGAGCTGCGAGCTGGTGAACGCCGTTCTCCTTCGGCGCATTTTGTGAATGTTCACTGAACCACGATCTATATCAGGAGTGCAGGGAGAACGTGCCTCTTCTAAGTCGCATCCATATTCCTCGTCTATGAAAGAATGTCAAAATAGAAACTTAGATAAAAAGAATATTTCTTTGTTAATTAAAATGTGTAATAACGATCAGGTGTTACGGTTTGACAAGACGTCGAATCATAAAATTGACATGCACGCGGGGATTAAGAAACGAGTTGGAAACCTGTCCGTCGAAGTCGCTAAATATTTTAAGCACTTTTTAACCCACTGGACGTATGATTTGTAAGATATCTCGAGAATACTATATATAAACCTCAAGACACAGATAATTATGAAACACGAAACCTACCCACTCATCGTCAGGGCAAAACCTCATTTCATAGTGTTACTTTATGCATTGTTAGTTAAAGACCATTCGAGTGTATAAAGCGAAAATTACCAACACCGAAACGCATTTGGGGAAGAGAGTGGAAAACTAGCATTTTTGATCCTTGGTTTTGAAAGGATGGAATTCTGGTTTGTAAATTTGGCTTTGCGAAACTTTCAAGTTACTTGAAATCTAGTAGAATGAAAAATGTTGGGCCCTCCAATCATACCCTGATTTCTCCCCATGCAAATAATATAAAACAGACTGAAATCCAACTGCGCGCTCTATCTCTCTATTTGTTTGCAAGGTCATCTTATCTTGCACACACTTTGCGAACCTCCTAGTCCCAGAAACCGATCAGAACTCGGGATTCTCGTTCAGTATCGCTTTTCACTTATAAATACATTGTATTGAAAGAGGGCATAATTGCCTGTTATTGTAAGTACGTCCTTTGTATGCTCTACGATGTTATGCCAGGACCTGTTGATTTGAAACCTTGATAAACGTAAACTTATCTTGGAAAAACATTGCGCGTGATATATGCTAATTTGCTCACGATTGTGCTTTTTAAAGCGTTGTAAAGGCGACACTTTATAGGTTCTCGGGATACAGTAAACTTTGGGTCAACTCCATTCCATTCCTTCGTCAACCGGTTTTAGGATTTCAAATGCGGGGGTCCAGTGTACCTCAAAAAGGTCAAAGGAAGTTTGGAAGCTTCGAGCTAAGCCTATCGTCCTGAGGTTAAAAGTATACGATTGTCTCATAGTCATTACAACTGTGTAGTTTATTCGATTCAAACTTCCGAGTGCGTTCTTTAATCAATACCTAAGGCCTTCGGGTTGATTAGATACAATAACCGTAAGCTACACTGTCTTGCAATTGCTTCAGAATGAGTACAGCCGATAGATCAAGGCACCCGCGTGCACTCATATTAACCTTTGCTCAAGATGGCCACCAAAAAACATGTTCACTCTAATAGGCGCATGTAGATAATAGAAATTTCAAAACTATCTTTTCTATTTCCCATATTAGCCCTTAAACCTAGGACTACGTAAGGCTGATTATACAAGCTTCCGATCTTCATTGATCGCTTTTGGAAGGAAGTACAAAGGAGAAACCTGCCTTCACAAGTTTCGCGTACTTGCCAAAACACTATAATCCTAAAGGCGCTTAAAGCGGCCAATTCGAAGACGCGCTGTGAATTTACAGAGATTTAAGTGCTAATTTATATATTCTTCAGTTTAGAAAACCCCATCCCACAAAGGGTACTTGTGTAAACTATCGTTCGTTTAACCTATTCTTAGGAGCGTGTATGCGACATGTTTATCCATACAGGAACCATATAATGCGTTAGGAAATCCGTCGGTTGAAGTAAATTATAAATCTAGCCTTTAGATATAGCTATGAAATGAAGCATTCGGCCGCACAGTGAGCTCAGTATATTAGGATAAAGTCAATGAACGCTTTAACAAGTATGTAGCTATTTATCGAACCGGTTCGATCCACTTTTGCTGAAAAGATGTGTCGGTAATAGAGTTCTAGATGCAAGCGCATTTCTTTAACAAATGTTTCCTTTTGTTAGTTCCTTTAGTTAGTCTTTTCTTAGAAGTCTTGTTTTAAACGTCGTGTTTTAAACGATGTGTTCAACGCATGAGTCTCAATGGCATCTGAATCGATTATCTATTGTTTTTAATGCGTTCGGCACATGTGAATCAGTACATAAAAATACAGTCATAAAAACCAAAAATGAATATGTACGCAATATATTCTACCGTATCGAGTTATAGCATGGATTTTAATGTGCACTCAAAAGCATAATAAAAAGAGTGTTGAAAATCATGGTTAGGTTTAACATGACTCTAAGTAGAGGTAGACCACTGTGGAACACTTAACAATACAAACTTTCAATCACACACCTTCATCATCATCATCTGTGTCTGTCAATTTCCTTGCTTTGATATTCTGCACAGGATAGTTCTCACTTTTCACGTTCGGACTATGAAATGTTTCCCCATCATCATAATTCCTTGTTCCTAATATCGCGCTAATACTGAACGAGTTCATCCTTCGAAGAGTGTCCTTTACCACGATGCTGAAGTGTTTGTGACGGTGTGCCCAGGCGAAGAGAGCACCTAATACCACAGGCACTCCAAACGGGCTAAATGTCGGGCGAGCCTTTGAAATGGTCTCCTGTCGTGATATGAATCAGGCGTGACGAAGTGGTTTAATTGTTTCTTAAGTGTTAAATTGTTTTCATAACAAGAAATCGTTCGTTTCATTTATTACCCGCAGTTAAATAAGGTAACAGCCCCCACGTGCGACTACCATAGCCATATTTAATAGATCATTTATGTGCCTAAACACTTTTCAGCCATTGAATTTTCACTGCGAACATACGCTCATTCATGTGTGTTTTGACGGGATGTTAATGGCTAGGGTTACCAGTAAACAATTCATTCGGCTAACGCCTCCTCACATGGTCACACCACCTCTGCATATAAATACCGGGATACAAACACGTACAACTGATATTTCCTTATGGACATTATAATTTGAACGGAATGAATTTTTACCTGGCGCACAATAGTTATTCATATATGTGTTTAGATAGGGAAATTGGCTGGCAGGCTTTAACAACACGTTAGTGATTACAACGCCGTCTGTTAGAATGCTTCAACATCTCTAAAAGACTAACTCCAAAAGCTGTACAAAGCCTTCTTAAAAATTCTTCACAGTTTTGTGATTGAAAAAAGCAGATATCTAACTTAGCTACGAGTATGTCTAAAGAAAATATGTCAGCTATCGTTGATTATAACATATAATTAAATTTTCTTAATAAATGTAAAGTTTGTAGCATTTCATCGACTTACTTCATTTGTAATGTGAAAACCTATTAGCGTCAGTTCCTGTGGGGAAATTAGGAACGAAGGGGTTTTATTTTAATACGGAGGAAAGGAAACTGACTTATATAAGAATAGAATTAACTGCTCAAATTCACAAGGAAACGCGTGATGTATGTTAATTCCAAAACATCTTGCGACACATTAGCCCGTTTTTGAAATGCGCAAAAAAAATTTATCTTTTACAACTGACATGTATGAAATATAGGATCCTCTGCATAAGAAGGTTTACATTCCGTCTTTTTTTTGCAGAAGTCTCTTTTAAAAAGCACTTTGCCCACCTACTCACCGATTCACGCTTTTAAATAAAGAAGCGCGCATAAGCTTCTTTTCTTTCAATGCACTTCGTGCCCGTCTCTCAAGCCCACAGCAAGGCGTGCGTCAACTAAACGCAATTAAATTCTTTGTATCGAAAGGCTAACTGACCCATCAACAATCTGACAGATTTTCGTTGTCTCTATAATCAAACTATTACCACTCTTAAAACTAGGCTATAAATTCCGCGGAGATGAAAAACAGCTGTGCGTATAAAGGACGTGCAATAATAAATCCAGTTAAGATTGAATACCACGGACAGGAAGAGCAATGCGTCCTAAAGCTGTGCAAAACTGTGAGAATGAAAGTCGGTTAGCTTGTTTATGTTAGCAAACAAATATATTTCTTTAATAATCAATACACGAATGAGTCTATTAATGGCTGCATAGGATACCAATCGTTTAAGCGTATTAGGTTTAAACAGCACTCAAATTTCAAAGTGTTTAGCAAATCCGGTAAATGGATGAATAGTGTTTCCGCAATGCAATATTGCACCAAGCTTACGCTGATAGAAATCACTTAGGGTGCACGGACGCCTTCCATGAGATCTTTGAATAATATTGACATAGGTCCACAACTGTATTCTAGTTCCATATATTTTTTCAGGGCATTAAATTGTTTATATTATTGCTATTTAATGTAATTAATTGCCTGATGATATTTTGAGTCAAAGTGTCATTCGGCCCGAGTATAATTTTGTTGCTTTCGTGTTCACCTTGACGTATGTCATTGGCATTCAAGAAGTGGGTTTTTAATGCGCCAGTCTGCACTGAGAGAATTCACTGGCTTTATTAACACGTATTAATTTAAAAGATTAAAAATCTGCGCAAATGGTGGGCAATAATTGAATTTAGATAATGACTTGAATGATATCACAAGAATAAAAAATGCACATGAAAACGATTCACGAGGATTATGTGGATTTTTTGGCCTTAAAATAAAATCTCAAATTTCCCTGACGATTATAAAATTTAAAACGAGCCGACTTTAATGTACACACACACACAACAAAGATTAATAGATTTTCAAAATGTTTAGGTGACATAAACAATTAAGATTGTAAAAGACGTCACCAGGAACTTGGTGATTAAAATTAAAAATTGGCACAACTTTGGCTCTCTTTGGGATTGTTTATCGACTTTTCTGATCTAAATTGTTTTAAAGCTTTAAATGTTTCGAATTCTTTTCTCAAAATGCGCAACCGAAACTCCGGATCGAAGACGAATCCCTGGAAATCTGATTATGATATCAAAAACACTGAAATCCTGTAAAATACAAAATCCAATCACAAAGAGCCCAGAAATTCCGATAAAACGAAGAAAACCGGAAAATATATTATCCATTTAAAGATTAACGCGGGACAATAATTATTGTCTATTGAATCAATGACGCAAATTGCATTAGAATTTGGTAAATTCTTTGTAAAAACATTGGATCTTGAATCGTGACACTCAGCTGATCTCAAAGAAGGCTGGATGGAGCATTTTTTAGATACCCAGAATATGTATATTGATGATAACTGATAACATGTATGAGCTTCGACTGATTCGATGCTTTTACGACGATCTTGAGACTTCACTTCAAATGAAATTCACACGGGAATAAGTTCGTGGAACTGTGATAACAACTGGATTGGAGTCATGTGATAATCGGCAAAGAAAAGATTATAAATTTTCATGACATTTTTCGGCTTGCCCTGTTTGCTTAAAATGCTACAATCCGAGCGCTATTCAAATTTGTTATCTATACCAAGAAGTATAATTTTCCTAAATAAACTGTGAAATATCACACTTAACTTCTTAACTTCTTCGAAAACGGCGACCATATTTAATTGCGTGCGTCTATAGTAGTTATTGCATACACGGGGAATTTTCCAGAAAAGTGGATATACTCTCTGCTGATGATAAACTCTTGTTAAAACAACATGTAGTTAAGTATCAATCACGCAACACGTTTTCCTCACGTTTGACTATCGCATGAGAATGAAGCCTCAAACCTTGCATGCAAGGCTCATGCCAACTTTCACATCGACTTTCATTATTGTTTTGAACATACTATAGTAGCACTACCTACTCCACGCTCCCGCAGGCGCAGACATCTTATTATGGTCGACTGGGTTTGATCTACCCGTAGATTATGTAATAATTTCACGCTAAAGAAGTACAAGAAATAAAATGCAAGCTCGATACACAAGTAAGCACTCAAATGAAATAGGGTTTTGTCGGCAGGTAACAAGCTTATATACAGTATACATGAAGTACCACTGCCCACTGCATGGGACAGAAGCAATTCATCAAGGTTTCTTTCGCTGAAATTCTGAACATCTCAGACGGATGAAGGATTAATTCCTAGACATTAATTATTCAGATTAATTCCCAGACATTTAGACATAATGGACAATTTTATCTATCCATTCCAGTTTAATCAAGGACCTTTTTCAAGGTCGAAGGACTTAAATTCAGTTAAGTGAGATGGCATAATGACCAGCAATTTTTTTATTAATAACATTATCCTTTAAATGGAAATTCCTTCAACAGCTTATAGGTTTGGCAATGTAACAGGTACTGATAAGCACACACTATATTCGTTTGATGAAAACTTTAATATTTATTACAATTGCGTTTGGATTACTTAGCATAGGTTAACCTGAGTTGAAGGGAAACTAATACAGAAACCAAAGTCTGAAAATACTTTATTTACATTGGCTGTAAAAAATAGTCTGATATAGTATTAGAGCAAAGAATTTGTAACTGAAATTGAATACTGTAAATACAGAATTATAGTGAATAAGGAAAAACCTTCCATAAACCACAATGTGATCATTTTCAATGTTGGACCTCCAGCCATCTGGAGAAGAACACAACCTGTTCAACGCGGACAAGTTATGACTTATGAAACAAAAACCATTTCCATTGTTCATTTCAGGTGAACATTCCTTGACGATTGGGGCAGCATTTGTCTTTGCATGGGATAACTAGGGTTACCACGTAATTTCTGGTTACCAACGTGTACAACTTTTGTAAAGGAAGGTACACGACCTGTCCATGCTTTTTGACCATTCTGTAGGAGGGAAATTTGTGGTAGTTGGTGAACATTCGGGATGATTACGGTCTTCGGTAGTCCACAAATATACTTTTTGAATTTCGTTCTTCGATTTTGGAACCAGGTTTTCACCTGATCCTCTGATAACCCTAAAGATCTAGAAAGTTCCCCGCGGACACCTACACCGAGGTACTTTTGACGGCGAAATGTTTCTTCTAAAGTTTTCAACTGAGCGGAATTAAAAATGGTTCTGTTTCGACGCCATTTTGAATGCGAAGTTTGGTTGAACTTTAGAGAGCCATCTTCTGATATATATTCTTTAAGATTTAGACGATGTCCTCCTGTATACGAAGAATGCAAATTCATGAATTTCATCAAAATTGTGATCGCTATTTTCTGAGAAGAGGGTGAGGCTATTCCTGAAGCTCGTTGGTTGCACTTCAACTTAAGATAGAGAATGTAATCCTTTAAAATGACAGGGCATGTTTTCCCTTCTCCCTCCTGCGCCTTCCCCCCCCCCCCCTTGTTCCGGAGTCCCTGGTGCCAGCATGAATAGTGCATGTTGTATTGAATATTAATGAAACTTTTCATGTCTAAACGTAGAAATTCTTCTAGGAAGAACAGTTCAAAACCGATATATCGACTTCCCATTGAAAGCTAAAAACAGCCTCGATTTAGTTGAATACAGTTGTTTTACTTGTTTATTAAAGTTACAATAAATAGATTATCTCTTAATCCAATTATTTTATTATTTTCTCAGCTAGTGAATGACATCGTATCTCCTCCTCCCACATGCAGAACAACATTCACAGTTATTCGGAATCGTCAAGTCGTTTTCAAAAAGCTCAGTGTCAATTTTCGCAATGTTACCGCGAGGTGCAGCCTACAGGGTGTATAGGTGCCTAAACACGAATTATTAGTAATGTGTAGTATATGCATTGTTATTAAAATGAGACGAGCCATTGTTTTTCCGAAGTGTGCACCATTACAGGGAAGACTATATCTCATTGTAAGTGCATGCAAGTACTCTTCATCATCCCTTTATTTAGAGCCGACAGGCGCACATGAAGGTTATTATCCCTACGACTTCTGGTTCTCTCGACGAACTTGTCTCCTGAGTTTGTTGAGCATAATTCACAAGCTTACTCTTATCGTGCAATGAGTAAATACCACAGAGGAACGGTATACGTTCTGGTGGAAAGGTATATAGAGATAAAGGGATATTGTCATTGAACATTGTATATATAAAGTACTTGTTTGAACTATAAAGTGTTTGGTCTGTTTGGACGAAGTAGAAATTATATACGCAGAAAAACGAAGGAATTGAGTTAGGAAACAAGTACCTTCATAATAATCCTTTGCCAAGTCAGGATCTGGTTTGGTAGACACCGGGTCTTCTTTGTTTTCCTGGTGTAAATTATTTTTTTCTCCAGCACCTCTTGCGTCAGTCGAGAGCAGCGACTCTACAGAGAAGCTTGAAAACGCCATAACTCCAGTCAATGCCAAACTCACTGCAAGTGGCCGACGGTTCAAAAGAAATTCAAGCCAAGGAAAGTTCGGTGTCCAAGCGAGAGCAGTAAAACCTCCAGTATGCTGTCTGGTCTAACCGTGTTTTTCTGTCTTCAGGCCAACTTTGTTTGACGGCTTGTCCACCGCAAAGTGCAAACCTCGTTAACTTAATAGCTTTTTAAATTGATAAGGAATAGAACGATGTTAATTAATTAATAGCGTAATCATTTCGCGATAAGGAATACAGTGAAAGGAGGCCGATATAATGCGCGCAGGCATGACACTGTAAAGACAAATTAGCATTTAGTGCGCATTTACACGTATTATTCAAAAGACATCGCCGCACTTGTGCGGTGACGGTAAAATTACTGAACGAATGTCCTGAGTTATTCGATTGCGCTAATCGAATAGAATAGAAACAACCATTTATGTATGATTTCCTAAAATAGGGACTATGAAATCAGATTTAACTGCGTCTCAAAATTTTGTGAAGCAGCAGCAATAACTGGAGATTATTGATCAATATTTGAAATCTAGGAAGAATTTAGATAAATACCGAAATCTATTATTTTAAGCGGAGTATGTTATGTACGCGACTCTGACGCTTATAGTAAATTTTGAAAAAAATTTTATTAGAAAATGTTTTATTGAAGTTGTCATGCAGCCTTGGTAATATCATTTAAAATTTCATGGGTTTGCCCACAAACGTTTAGAGTGAAAAGCTTAAAATCATTATACTAACACAGCATTTAGCTTAATAATACACGTCAAAATTATTCTTAAAAGTGGTGAACCCGTGGACCGGTTGTTTTTTCAATCGCTTCAAAATCGCCCGTTTTTTGGTATAACTTTGATTAAATCTTCGTATTCCTAAATCGAGGATCCTCTTTAATAATATTAAGCTGAAATTTCATTGCTTTTCAAGCATTTTTAGAACAGTTGAAAAAACTGCCATTCGGCTTTCATACAACCGGCCCCATTCGTTGATTTAACGTGAAAATTACATAAAAGGCGATCTGTTTGAAATTATTCATGAATCGTGAATGGCGGTAAATTAAGGAGAAATAAATAGCATCGCGTCTACAACACGATGAGAAATATTCCTTTAAATTGCCGTTGATTTAACCCAAATAGCTCTGTTTGTGAGATTTTGCAGCGTCTATAAATAGACTGAGAAAATTTGATTGAGAATTAACGATCTTCTGATAGTTTGTCGGGCCTATTGCGGGTCCATTAGAAAAAAATAAAATAAATATAAAATACATCTGTGTTTGCGTCGCGCCGTGTGTAAGATGTATGCACTGTTCCGCAATATATGCATGAAAATGATATAGCTTTGGGCATCTGGACAGAAGGAACTTTAATTTAATTTCTTTTAAATTGAACTTTAAACGAAAGTATGCCAAGAAAATTCGATATATTGACATCTGCGATAGCTTAAAAAAAAAGAGATTTCATCGAACTGACATGATCAATTCGATGAAAATTTATTATAGTTCCCCAAAATGACATTCAATGTCCTTTTTTAACAGGTTAATTTAAAAATATTAATATATAATTACGTAAAATCCTCTACAACATACGAATAATAATTTCTTTTATATTCAGTGTAAATGAAATTGATTTTGACTATCAAATCAACCGCTAACCTTAACCACGCACACCGCACGGCCTACACACGAAAAATTCTACAACAATCAAATCCCCACGCGGCGCCAACTTGAATTTCTACTCTTGGCAAGAACACGCCACAATTATAGTTAGTTTAAATTGTCAAAGACTATATGGGTATCGTGCAAAGAATTCTGCGTTTTTACAAGCATTTAGTATATATTTCTTGTTCGTTGTTTGCTTGTTTACAACTTCAATTCAATTGAAGCCAAAGTCCAAAGGTCCAACATTTGTTTTTAGTTTAAGTTCGACTCAATAGCTGCACCTTATTAACGTTCATGCAGCGAAGATCATTTCGATAATAGGACCGTGTGGTAGCTGCTAAACTTGTCACTGAGAACAATACTGATTATCGCGTGATGTTTTTGCGTGTACTTTAACGGAAACAAAATTGGGATGTAAGATGTACAAATAGATAGCCTGTGGATCAGGCGAATTACGGAAACCGATGTTTCCCCCTCGTAAAGAGATCAGATGCATCCGCATTGATTGCAGTTTCACACAGCAACACAAACACCCAACACATGGTACAGCAATACAAGCCAACCGGAAACTTGCAGTTTTCACATACTCTGCTTGCCAAAACACAAGAGTGCCATAGAGTGGCGGAAGATAGAACTTTGACAGCCAGCGTATGTTTCACAGAAATGACTAAATTTCCGTATATTTTATCAAAAACACACGTCTCGTTCAATATCAGGAAGGTTAATGAACTGTTATAATTGGCAACAAATATATTTCAGAAGAATCCTCTGAAACTAGATTAGATTATTCTAACCCTCTAAGCTACAGCCACTGGGTACTACGTAGGGAACATTGCGGAACAACTTGTAATGCTCCTGGCTGATTCTTCGTTGGTCCGTTGTTCATTAGTTAGATCAGACGTTAAAATATAACCGAAAACACAACCTGGACAACGAATTTTTGGTTTTTCTCCATTCGCAATAAAATGAATTTATGAATGAATTCGCGTAAATAAAACAAAAAAGTTGACTTGTTTCAACCAAATTAGCTTTGAAACATATATGATAAAGAATTACTTCAGATGTCTTTGACAAAAATACTTGCATTCAGCATTTTTTTGTGTGCAAAACTCTACCGGTGGGAATTAATAGCGTACATAAATTACATGACCGAATTGGATGGTGGATGACGACAGTGAATGAAAAACGAAGAATGAAACAAAAATAGCATGGAGACCTTCATTCATTACCAGGCCAAATACGCACAGGTTGTTCCCGGTTTATAAAAACATGACTGAACAAGGTTTTGCTGCATCGCGTGAACCATGCATGCATGGACATGGTCAGGGCCGCCGAGAGAAATTGTGGGGCCCGGAGCAAAATTTTTTCTGGTGCCCTATGACGTCATAGTTTTAAATATCTGCGAGACATAAAGTACTTCAAAGCGTTGCGCAAAAGATTTACAAACAACCATGGTCGAGTGTACCGGAAAACGGCGTATTCGACCATGGTCGAGTGTACCGGAAAACGGCGTATTCGACCATGGTCGAGTGTACCGGAAAACGGCGCATTCGACCATGGTCGAGTGTACCGGAAAACGGAGTATTCGACCATGGTCGAGTGTACCGGAAAACGGAGTATTCGACCATGGTCGAGTGTACCGGAAAACGGCGTATTCGACCATGGTCGAGTGTACCGGAAAACGGCGTATTCGACCATGGTCGAGTGTACCGGAAAACGGAGTATTCGACCATGGTCGAGTGTACCGGAAAACGGAGTATTCGACCATGGTCGAGTGTACCGGAAAACGGCGTATTCGACGATGGTCGAGTGTACCGGAAAACGGCGTATTCGACCATGGTCGAGTATACCGGAAAACGGCGTATTCGAACATGGTCGAGTGTACCGGAAAACGGAATATTCGACCATGGTCGAGTATACCGGAAAACGGCGTATTCGACCATGGTCGAGTATACCGGAAAACGACGTATTCGACCATGGTCGAGTGTACCAGAAAACGGCGTACTCGACCATGGTCGAGTCCCCCGGAAAATGGCGTATTCGACCATAGTCGAGTCCCCCGGAAAATGGCGTATTCGACCATAGTCGAGTCCCCCGGAAAATGGCGTATTCGACTATGGTCGAGTCCCCCGGAAAATGGCGTATTCGACTATGGTCGAGTCCCCCGGAAAATGGCGTATTCGACTATGGCCGAGTCCGCCGGAAAATGGGTATTCGACCATAGCCGAGTCCGCCTGAAAATGGGTATTCGACCATAGTCGAGTCCGCCGGAAATAGCGTATTCGACCATGGTCGAGTCCGCCGGAAAATGGCGTATTAGACCATGGTCGAGTCCGCCGGAAAATGGCGTATTCGACTATGGTCGAGTCTGCCGGAAAATAGCGTATTCGACCATGGTCGAGTCCGCCGAAAAACGGCGATTCGACTATGATCGAGTGTACTGGAGTCTGAAAAACGGCGTATTACACGATGGTCGAGTCCGCCGGAAAACGGCGTATTCGACCATGATCGAGTCCGCCGGAAAACGGCGTATTCAACCATGGCCGAGTCCGCCGGAAAACGGCGTATTCGATGCCTATATATGCCTTTAAAAAAAATAACTATATTAAACAAATCTTTCCATCGTAACATACGATATTTTAATACATCATTAAAATATTCGCGTTTGCAAGTTACATTTCCCAATAGTCATGTCACAGTCACTTCTTCTTAATATTGTTCATAATATTGTCTTATTGATGCAGAACTCTTCAATTTTCGTAGTTCAAAAACAAAATTAAATACTTTCACGTCAAGAATCAGCAAACCTTTCCCACTTTGGTCAACTGCTTTTTGAAAACCTCCATTGAAAGCATCGTAGAGAATATCTTATCTTTCTTACCTAGTTTGCAGCCTTGGCTTGCATTGAAAGTTGCTGAAATTGTTGTTGAAGACTTCCTATTTTCTGCTTATGACTGTGAAACTTGCTTTCTAAGTCTTGCATGGTTTTGTCATGACGTTCTCTACAAAATTATACAATTTTAAGTTTAAAATTTGGCTTAGGGCCTGTTTACATGGAGCAAGTTATCCCGGCTAGCGAGGTAAAAAACACATCACATCAAAGGCTTAACCTGATTAGTCTTTCATTACACACAGTATTCACCTCGCTTAGCCGGGATAACACGGTCCATGTAAACAGGCTCTTAGTGTATTTTTTTAGTTTTATTGAGGGATACGAGGGTACTTGTACAAACAAAAGCTGTATACTTATGATTATGAGATATAAGATACACCACATATATTTTACAGCAAGTTTGTTAACCCAGGTCTTCTAATGCAGGAAATAAATACATTGCTCAGGGTCAACAGACTAAAAGCTTTGCAGAAATACATATACCGGTATATATAAATATATATGTGGTGTACCTACCTACAATGTTCATCGTGCAAAATTACATGAATATAGTGAGCTGTGTAGTGTCAAAGAACTGTTTGAAAATCATCAAATATTCATCTTTCCCCTAGTGGTAGAGTCAGGGTTCTCTAAATGAATTTTTTTACAAAGTCACTCCTACAAACTTTAGCCTTCTGTACTCTGTAGATAAAAAATGGAATATTTCCTATATGCAACCAGTAGAAGAGTCTACTGTGAGCTTGAGTCATAGATAAGGCAAATTCACAAATATCACAAATTCTCACAGCATTATCACCGCTTTCACTACTCACCATATATGAGCTGATATATTATGTGTAGCTCAGTAAGTATAGCTACTTTATAAAGCTATTTAAAGATATCTACATGGGCTTCTTCTATTGGTAAATGGACACACACACTCCCGCCTCTTTGTCAAATACTTACATTTCTTTTTTGATATATTGAATTCTTTTTGTTACAGTATCTTTTGCTTCTGTTGGATCTTGTTTCACTAATACTGGACCAATTAACTTGTAGATTGAACCTTCCCCAATGTGCTTTAATTCCTGCCAATAATGGTAACCAATATTACAACAACCAGTGTGCCTGTTTTCTTGGGCAAATAGCTTTGCCATTGGGGTTGTAAGGTTAAAAAATATTCTTCATTCTTACAGCAGGGGCCGGTTGTTCAAAAATGGGTTAGCTTGACCCAGGGTTAACTCAAATTTTCAGAACAATTTTTTAATCGCTCGTTTATGAAGTTGAACGTGTTTTTTCATAAATATTTTCTGGATCAATAAAAGTCCTTTTTTGCAAAGTCTTGAAACAAAGAGCAGTGCAGAAGCATATAAACCAAAACAGCTGAGTAAAATTTAGCCCAGGGTTAGCGCTAACCTAGCTTTGAACAACCGGCCCCAGAATGTTTGAGTGTGCAACATGGCTATATTAAGTGCACCCGGAAAAAGGCAATGGCATATGTGTTAATAGTTCTTTCTGTTTTTCTAACATGCATTGTCATTCCACTACCGAAGAAGTACAAATTTTGCATAAAATTCAGCATTTGATACTAATAAGCCTATTGCTGTCAGAAATGCCTGCAAATCGCAATACTACAAGTACTATTTACCTCCAAAACAACATTATTCTCATTCAGTTGTGCATCAAGTTTCTGACGAGCACTTAGAGTCTTTTGAATAGCTGATGAGAAGAAAAGCCATGGTTAGAATGTATCCAAATGAAAAAAAATATTCAGTACAGAATTTACTAATCAGTAGAAATTACTCTATATATTATTTTCAGGAACACCATCTCTAAACATGTGGATATGCTAGATTTCACATTAATTCTGAGTTGTATCATTTGGATGTAAATAGGCGTGTATTTTTTGGGCATGTGTATTACTTGGGCGTCAGGGTTTCCACAACTTATTTGCATAAGACTGTGCTCATAGGGAAATGGTAAAGACAAAAGAGAGAAACAAAGAACATTTGTACCCTCCCTCAAGGTTGTCATTTTGAAGGAAATTTCCTTCAATTGTGGAAACGCTGTTGGACGTGTGCACATAGGGGTGTGAATGATTGGTGCAGAGATTGACATATATTAAAAAATTTAAATTATTGACTTTGGTATCCAATTGCATAAGTTCAATTATAACTACAAAGTTTGTAGTGACCTAATTTACATAAAATTCAACCATAGGATTCTCTTGGAAGCTTCTCCCCCTTTTAATGTTGTATAAGAATAAGATGTGCTCAGGGGAATCCGGTATGATATGCGTTACAGTTACAGTTCGGTACAGCCGGTTTAACCTTCTTCAAATTGTCATGTAGACTTGTAGTCTTGTTACAATGTTACTCTTGTATTGTACTGTACTGTACTGTACTATAGTGAGGGTAGTCGTACTGACAAATTTATTAAATTAATACCGTACACAAAGATTGTTACAGTCAGTTGCGCAATGTTATAGTTCTTAGCTACCAGAGTACACATCAGAGAATAATAAAATAAAAAATCTTCACTCTACTTTTCTGAATTCCTTGGAACTTTTCCACTTCTTGTTTCATTTGATTTTGAATTGAGTCCACCGTATCGGCCATCTTGAATTCGCGCGGACGGACGAATTTAAAACTACGCAGTGCGCATGCCCAGAAAATTCAGAAATACAACAGTTAGCCAAGGCTCTTCCGCAAAAACCCATAGAATAGAGATTATAAATAACACTATTTATAATCACAATATTTATAATCTCTATGCAAAAACCCGCAACCTCCGCAAAATATTCTTTCCTACAATTTAATACCCGATAATTGGCTGCGAGCAAGTGTTTGTGTTCTGCCTTCCCCGTCTTTCGGCGCCGTAATTGTCCATCTGTTAGAGGATCGATTTTAGAGTATAGAATTGCCCCGTTCAAAACAAGGTACATTTATCTATAAGACTATATGGCATTCACTGTTAAGAGTTGGGTTGGCACTTGACAGGGTATTTCATAATTGCACCGCGAACTGTGTCTGTGCAAGTGGAAATCACCCCTAGTTACTGAAATAAGAAGAACACCTTCTCCAGGTATTATATAGCTCAGTGGTGAAGTTGTTGAAATAACTGGGGTATGCTGTATAACCTTATATAATCTAAGGAGTGTGTTCTTGGTTATCCAGTGCGCTATATAAATGGCCATATATTCACTTAGAAGGTGGTCATATGCATTTTCTCGATGTAAAATGGTTTTCAAGTTCTCAACAAGGAGTGCTAGCATGACCTCAAAGAATAGAGCACCTTTGCTTCTTACAGCAATGCCTGTAATTTCATTTGGCCTGGGGACATGGCAGGTGTATCGATTGCAGTGGAAGAAATCGCTGATTAAACAACTTGAGGATAGAACTATGAGAGAACCATTGGAAATAACAGATAGGTTGGTAGTGTGCTTAAGAGGGTTGGTATAGATACCAAACTTAGGTCTATCAGCAATCTGCACATAGCACACATACTGGCCTGATTCCAGACCTTTAAACATGTTTCAATGGCTAAAAATTGCTTACAGGCAAAATGAAGGAATACAGAAAACTGTGGTGTTCTTTTGTTGATTTACCAGCTTAGGGTTGTATTCATAAATATAACAGCTACAAAATCTTTCTTGGACTTTTTTATTTGTTTCTTTGACCACCTTAAATTGAAATTGTCTGGGGGGAAAAGTAGCTGTATAATTAAAATGCATTAATCAGTTTCAAAATTATTAATTCTAAAGCTTGGAATTGCTCAAGGATGAAAAAATGCAGTACAGAAGAGTTAAAATAAGAGGCACATTTGACCATTCCAAAGAGTTGCATATATTTCCACGCTCGCAAAATAATGATGGAAGATCAGGAATAAGGGGACCAAATGCAACTGGTGCTCAAATTGTTACTCCATTTCGTTTGTCATCAGGGTATGAAATTATATATCTAGCAATTAATTTTTACCTCAAGCTATAGGCAAATATGATCTACGGATCAGCCTAAGCCTTTGTAACTAATGAATTGGTTTTGTGGTTTAGTGAAATAATCTTGGTAAATAGAGGATGGGTTGAAAAATCCAAAAAGAATCCTGTAACAAGACCAGAGGGTCAGGTAGATCGCTTTTTTGAAATACAAATTAAAAATGAAGTAGGCAAAACAGATGGGTTCTGAAATTCTCAGGTGTTGCTGAAATGCTGCCTCAGTGATAAACTGTCATGCAGCAAGATATTGTAATTAGTTTTTTGAATGGTCTATCACTTGTTAATATTGAGCTAATAAGGTGGGAATATAGATGCAATATTAGCATATGCTAGCTCTCATATTCATTTTCTCTCAGTTTTTTCACAGTTTATCTAATCTAGAGGAGAGAGATTTACTTTTATAGGTTGACATAATTAAGGTTTGAGCACCCTGAACTAACAAACATTCTGTTTGTCCCAGGTTGTTGGTGAAGTAGAATTAATTGCTTTCATTCGTCTAGGACAAAAGGTTAGAATAATTTTGTTATCCATATATGTATATAATCTTTTTAATAATTTAAATCACTGTTATTACAAATCCTTGGTCATTTAGAGACCTCAGTTTGTTCCAAAGAATGATGTGGAGAAAAATCACTGGCATTATTGTGATTTGGATCAAATGGCGGAGGTTACTCAGTCGCTGCCCATTCTAGTTGATGCTGATGCAGGTTTGTTTCCAGGCTTGTTGACAGCAATTAATAGTTAGGGGTTCCCAATTGTATACCAACAGTGCCATGGCTATAAGATGTCAGATCAGCACTTTGTAGCAATCTGTCCAGGTTGTCTACTTTGTTTTTTCCTTTCAGATGCACCAAACACTTATTCCATTTTATGGAGATTTTATGAAACGTCCTTGGAATATAATTCCGGGTTTGCATTCCGGATATATATAGTCAGTGTTATTATATACACAGTGTGCTTTAGGATTTGCAAGTGATTTTACTATTATTTTCAATCCACGTTTGAAAAACAAGTCCTAATGTTCCGAAAATTGTTTTTACCGCAAGTTTTCAACGCCAGGAATGCGACTACGGAAACGACGCGGTGAAGCCAAAACCTGGCCCAACCCTAATTTCCTTCGGAAAAAAAAAGCACAAATGCAAACATTCATAAAAAAACTTTAGGACTCGTTGTTTTTGATCTTGCTGAAAACACACCTCAACCTTTTGATGGACTTTTGCACTCCTGCTTAATAGTTAATCCCGGCTTAAATGATTTTTTTTTATTTTATAACTAATAGGAAGTACTTTTCCTGGAGGACCCATTGGAGGACAAACAAGAGTTTATCTGCGAAATGAGCATTTACAGTATATCTTTACATGGTGGGTGGATAAGCTTACACAACTTGTTGCGGTGGTAAAATATCTTAATAAACATCAGGGGCCGGTCGTAGAAGCCGAAGGCTAGATAGCGCTATCCACCAGATAGGAATTTTTTCAACCGTTCCAAAAGTGCTCGAAAAGCAGTAAAATTTCAGCTTTGGAACGAAAAATTATCGACGAAAATCCTGAATTTAGGAATACTAAAATTTAAGATTCAAAATTATACCTAACAACAGGCGAATTTAAGCAAGTGAAAAAACTATCAGGACAGCCTTCATACAACCGGCCCCTCAGACAACGTTAATTTTTGCCATAATAAACGGAACAAGGCATCCCGTTTTCTGTCAATTTACTTTCCAAATTTTCAACCGCAAACATCCGGGAATTATTTTTTCCGCCATCCTTTTCTTAGTCGTGAGCTCAGTGGTTGTGAATCGGCCATATATTCTCTAGACTTTATTCTATTTAATGCTAATATTTAAATACCGCTACCTATAAAGATAACATCATTTTTTATTTGTTTAGGTATGGGCTTTCATTTGCCACTGCTTTAATGTTATACAAATTCCGAAAATCAGGCAAATGGAGATGACGTAATATGTGAAATGAACGACATGTAAAAGTTCAACATCTCTAGAAAATATAACAGGAATTTATGAATATATAAAGTATTGTATAGTAGGCCATACCACTCTTAACAGTGGTGGCATTTTCAGTGAATAAAGGTACAGAAGAACTATCAGCGCCCAGCTAAATTGCATGTTTAATAGGAGAGAAACGTAATATGTTTAAGAGTAGCCATCTGCTATTAATTTAGTCATCGCACTTCAGATCCCTCCTCCTCAAAAGCGTATATAGAAAAAAAGAAGAATGTTGATAAATGTGACTCGTCACGTCTTTCTATAACCAACCTTATTCATTTTGAAAGACGACTATAACAAGCTGAGGCACGCCTTAGAAAATAAAAGGTCTCCCAGAAATAGTTATTTTACAATATATTGAGTGGGGTTGAAAATAGTGGGTGCAACTATTCAGCTTTCAACAAAATTGTTTGTTGGGCTGTACTATAAATAACCCAGTTAGAAATCTTCAACTTCCTAATTTTTGTTTTATAATTATCGACTTATTTTTGTTTGATAATTATCGAGCAAATCGTCATATATTTATTTGTATTTGCTGTCTATTTTGGAAAACATAGTCATAGCATACATTTAAATATTTCAAAGGCATGTATTCTATTGCTATGGTGACCTAAACATACTTGTACGACTTAACAATGACGTCACCGAACCCTCTAAGAGCAGCCGGAAATTAGACAGTTCATTAAGAATTCCGTCTGGTAAGGATACACCGGATAACCGGTATCGAGTAACATCAAGCTTCATAGCTTTATCGTGAGGGGTGATGCCGTGATGCAAAAAGACTTGAAAATCATGATTGATAGGAAACACATTTGCAAAATACTTCCCTTCTGAAAAACAAATACAGCTTTGTTTTGCCGATATCTGAATATTAGTTAAATTAAGAAAAGTAAAGTACTGGGACAGAATAAATCAATATTTAGAAACGCAATTTTGGAGAATTTATTTAGGGATAACCGACCGTTTAGAAAATTTGATTCATTAAAAAAAAATGGTCTCAACGTGCTTAAACAGAACTTCGGTCCCAGTTAGTCTGCCTGTTTGTAATAATATATTGAAAAACGCCCCCAGACAATTCAACTTTCTATTTTCGCCCTTTAAAACTTTGAAAGTCCTTTATTTGTATTATTCGTCACCGAAAAGTTCTTTATTCTTTCAGCTTAATATCCTTCCTGCTCATGATTTTTCTACAAATTATAGTGTGTGTTAATTGTAACACTAACTGATTGTCCGCAAATCGAACATCTGAGACATGAACAGTTGTTAAAAAGTCCCTAAATTTATGCTGGCTGAATTCAGAGAAAAATTCTAAAAACGTTTCGATATATATATGGTACGTCGACCACCAACAAAAAGTTTAATTATGGCAACTTGAGATGAAAGCTATTAACTTAAGTATAGGGCAAGAGTTGACGTTTTGAAATTCCGGTTGAACTTTCCAGATAAAAAATGTTAGACCAGACGATAACTCATGAGTCAGCATTGCAAGTACCGTTCCATCATCCCTGTCTGGCAACAAGAAAGGTTTTAATGGAGTTTCGTCAGTCACGTTTTGCGACATGTGGCGATAAAATACATTTTCTGAATGCGACTAACTTTGTCCCAAACCCAGTGTCGCAACTGCAACAGAAGACTTTAAATTAAGTTGCAGAATAAACTACACAACAGGGTCGGTTGTTTAAAGCTAGCTTAGCGCTAACCCAGGATTAAATTACATTCAAGAGTTTATATAGTTTATGTGCTTTTGAGCCACTAGCTGTTTGTTTAGAAATTATGACTTTTATCGGTCTTGAAATTATTTATAAAAATTGATTATGAAGTTTGCAAGCAAGAGGTTGAAAAATTAATGTAAAGATTTGCTTTAATCCAGGGTTAAGCTAAACGGCTTTTGAACAACCGGGCCCTGGAGTATAAGACTATGTCTTATTGTTATAGCATTGAACTGCTGTATGCATGAAAACCTGCGGTTTTTATTAAATTGATATCAAGAATTCAATCAATTTTTGCAGAGTTTGCCGGCGGCACAAAGGCAAAGCTAAACTAAAACTTAATTCACGTTAAACTGTGAAGAACAAAGAAGTCATCCTGCATATATAGTTCGTATATAATGACGCCATTCCAGAATTTCAGTTGACCTGAAGATGTCAACTTTTTTTAGTTGCCATCTAATAGTGGATTGCCCTTCACAGGATAGTGGCCGGTTTTAATGCCGTGTGGTTTAGGTGGTTTAAAAGCTGTAAAAAAATTGCCTGCTTTAGTTTGCTAGATGACCTCAATGTAACCCACTCAGTATTTTTATTGCTTTTCAAGCATTTTAAAACGGTCGAGAAAACACCAACCATGCAGTGAATGTATTTTAGTATTTTTCAATTGTAAAGCTTAACCATATTTTTTACTATAGAAATTTTGACAGCTTTTTATGATTCTTTTGTCTAAGAGTAGCTCAGGGAACCGAGACGCCTGCATTAGTCATTACACGATTTCAGATGTTTTTGCGGTTATTTTACTTGTGATTTAATGCAAACAAATATTTCTTCGCCACTTACTCTGCGTGATTTCTAGCTTCTTCCTGTCCTTGCCTTGGGAGTTGGGACTTGGCGACAAGAACACGAATGCACGAGGGAAGTCGACAAAATGCGGCTTTGCGTGGGCAGTTGTATTTGGAAAACATTTTATCACAACGCTATCATAAACTCAAACTGAAAATTATACCTGGTTTGAAAAAAGGAATCATGCGCTAGCTTCAAACAGTTTCTCCGATCAACATTAAATTTTTGTAACTTTGAATTAATCTGAGGCTTTTTGAAGATCCTGTGTGTGTTGTGTGTTTGTGCATGCATGCACTGAGAGTCTGAGACGGATGTGATACGTCATGTACTGAAAACGAAACAGATAAAGATAAATATCACAGCGATGAGTAAGCTGAGTTCCATCACGTTGAACCTCTTGACAAAAGGTCAGGTCTCAACAACTAAATCTTTGAAATAGGTTTACAATGCGACATATTTTGATCAAATTATTCTCAGCAAAATCTTCAACAAAGAAACTTTAATAACCGCAGAAATTCCACCCACCCAACCGCTGTGCCTATCATTTAAGAATCCTTTAGTTTACCCGGCCATACGTTAATGGCAAACCATATTTTCATTCAAAGAAGTCTAAAAGCTTCAATATACTAGGATAAAATAATTATTTATCAAAAACCAAGAAATTAGTTATTATAGAAGGAATTCTCCGATGTGAACTGACCCATTGTATTTTAGTTATCTAAGGTTGACTCGAATAACTCCCGGCTTGTTCCCGAAGAAGTTTATTATAGGTTATTAACTATAAACTTTGATCAATATCTCTTAAATTTTTAACTGTCGCATCTTGCGAAGTCAAGAGGGCGTACGTGTGCATGTGTAAGACTCGCATGATGCATCTACGTTACAAGTATTATACAACAATATATTGTGGCTTGTGGTTAGTTGTGGTTGACACTTAAACATGTTTATGGATGGACTTCACGATTTTTGTTTGTTGTTCAAGCGCCCGATTGGTAGATGACAAAAATTTTAACTGGAAATGTTGGCGGAAAAAATTTCAAATATTTGTCGACCCACTTTACTTACAACTCATAGGAAGTGATCGATTCCCGCCCTTGATTAAAATTGTATTGGTGGTCATGATACTTGACTTCGATATTTACTATCAACAATTTGATACAAAATCAAAGAAAAATTATACAGCAATAATATATTTAGGGTACTTATTAGAGAGCAGTCGTGTTGCTTTGACTAAATAAAGGATTATTATAGTCACAATTTTTTTGTAGCCAACACTTCCTGATAACAAGGTGGTTTAAATGGCTTGTATGTTCGAAAAAGTAGCCGATGCTGACAGAGGTAAGCTTCTAATCATTGGTTATTAAATACTGAGAGTTTGGCATTCCTTATTCAGCTTTCAGCCACAATAGATCATGCTTGAATACAGGCATTTTATGGCCCATTGTTGTCCTGAATGCGAGAATGTCATTTAGTATAAGGTTCCTTATTATGCTGTTATCTTTGATTTAAAAAGTTTATGCCACTTTGATAAAAAAAACATTCAACTTTAAAAGTGTAGCGTAAGGTCAATGGACCTAATTCCTTTGCCAGCCTGGCCATGGGTTGAAGATTTTACGATTTCACAGTAACTCTCGTATAGTAGCTACTCAATCAGTAATCTATAATTCTCACCAGTCACTATATACATTGTACAGTGCCATCTATTGAGTAAATAGATACCACAGAGTATAATCAATAAATAAAATCAATCATGACTCAAGTTTAGTCTTACATCTTGGGACCACAATCCATAATGACATAATTTCTTCCTAAACTATTATTTAATTACTGATAATTTGATTTATTCAAATTTCATATAATTTAGCCAAGTAACTATAGCTGGAAAAATAGTAAGCCAGCCGGATATATAGGATTACAATTTTTTACACACATGTAGAAAAAAGTGCAAGGTCGAATAAAATAGAACTACAAGGTCACTGTGAATTGGATTTGTGACATCAGTTTCTTCGATTTTGCAACTGTCGTTTCCAAATCCAGGAACAAGGACTGTGGGCAAGGGAATTATGATTTGAATAAGTTTAATAACCCATCGTTAACCAGTTAAGCATCGTTATTCAATACATTATTATCCACATTCTGAAATTCTGGAAATTGAAATATCATTGAATAGTAGTGAAAGAGCGGGAACCATGCCACCTCATGCACTGGCGTTTCATAATACTAAAGAGCAATTATGTATGTATGAACTACGGTTCCGTCAAAACACGCTTAACTGCTTAAGTGCACGGGACAGCAAGATACATAACATGGGCCCCTTCCATAATAATGGGCCTCTTCCATCGTGCATGAATAGGAAGTTCCACGGCAGTTCCAAGAACGTAGGAACGTTTCTATGTAACATAAGGGGGGTCGATTCTCACGAAAAGCCATCATGGCAGAACGCAGGCAACCATTAGCCAGGAAATTGGGAGACGATTAGGACTAAAGAAACTGACTTGATGTACACTTTAATTGTCGTGTACACCTAGAGTATTTGCCAATTACCAATTAGGTCACACCTATACAATTGTCATGTACACCTAGAATATTTGCCAATAACTACACTGAACAAATTACCTAATTAATTAACGTTAAAAGTTAAAAACAAATTCCGAATAAACAAGACATCTTGAGAGTCAAAATATGAATCAAGCCCACAGGTTGAAACTAAACTAAATATAGCATACATTTTTAGTTTTATTAGTAACATTATCAAGTTTCCCGTTGCTTGGATTAACACACCTTTCGCCCACACTGGATTGACACGTGCGCTCTCTTTCTCTCTGTGTTGTATATGTATGCATTGTAAAGTATTGTTTTTCATTCTGTCTGAAGATGACTTTGAAATAAAGTCGAAAATTTACAGTTTCAACCTGTGTCTCGCTTGTTTCATATTTTAACTCTCAAGATGTCTTGTTTATTCGGAATTTGTTTTTTACTTTTTAATTGTCGCCTGGTCATGGTCTTCCGCTAAGACTTGGCTGCTTAACCCAGATGATTAAAGTAACACGTACCACATTCTACAGGCAAAAGGCAAATAGGCCTAATATATAAGAGTTTGTAATAGGTTTCTAGTTTTTTTATTGGTGAATATACTTTTTTTAAAATCATCCAACTAACTGAAGAAAGGAAGAATTGGAAGGAAGAGTTTTTAAAAAGTTTAATGATCATGTTCTACTTGGGAACTTGTTAGCATTTCAGTTTGTTCATTAATTAATTTCTAGTCAATCTCATTCATATCAGTGCATGTCATAAACAATTTTTTTACTTCTGCACTATACAGACAGCAGTAAATTTTTTTACCACATTCGAAGTATAAGTGTGTCTATGGCGAACGAAATGCATATACAACATCAAACAACAACATACCTCGTTTACTGATTGCATTACTTAGTAATGTGGTTACACTGACTAAACCAAGAAATCTTCATCATTGATTTCAGTTTGTGAAGATGAAAAGATATTTCAGGCTTTCAGCAATGTTTTCTGGTTCAGACTGAATAGGTTTCACCATCTTTGTTTCCAAATCTTCACCATCTAAATAAACTATCCACGAATATGGAAGCTCCCACAGAGGTATCCACTTGGTTGAATCTAAACTAACATCCGCAATTTAATTAACAACTTATGGTGTTGGCTTACATTACTCAGGCCAAGTACAGATGGTCAATAATGATGATAAACAACCCATCACGTACGTAGACCCGGGTTGACTTTAGCGTAGGTGTATATACACGTCACTCCAAAAAAAACACCTATAAGTGCTGGTACAGTAAAATAAAAGGGATCACGTTGAGAATTAGGTACACACTCAGTTGGTGCTATAGATGCAGCGAGGACAATACTCAGCCAATTAGCATCTGGATTCTGTAAAAATCTGAAGTAAGTCAAGCATATATAGTTTTATTTACATTAAATAGTATATTAACATCAGCTCTTAGCACGCTGCAACCTGAACTGAATTTTTCTTTACTATTATCACTCATGACAATTGACAAATTTCTCTCCTCTATGTTAAGATTACAGTTCCAGCTGTTTTTTAAATCTATGTCTAGTGAATGACGTTTGCAAATTCTGTAAACCACATATTCTTGTATACTCTATAGTATACTCTAAGGTACCTGGCGGGATGGTAATATGGGATATATGTTGCCAATGAATCATTTATAGTCACTAACACATATTTTGTTTGAGACATTCATTATGTCTCAAACGAAATATGTGTTAGTGACTATAAGTGCCATATTTTTCTCATGTACGAAATGTAAACGTATTATGTGAAAAAATAAAAGCGTGATCAATTCTTGATTACTGGACCGGGTCTTCCGTTATATTTGGCTTTTCAATCCAGTCATCCAGAGTGGTATTGATAAGCTCTTATTTTTCAGAAGAGCCTAAGTAAATCGGGCTGATTCACGGCATGAAAATTAATCTTCTTTTGTTCGCATCAGAATGTTGTATTTTTTCCTACGCGATTATATTGGGCCTTTACGCGTCATTTCGCTGGAGGATCTTGAAACCATGCATGCAGTAATTTACGATTAGGAACTGCATGTTATCAGTTATCCTGCAATACCTAAATCGTGTGAAAGAGCTAGAAATGTCGGACGTTAACCGACGTCTTTTTTATGATCGAATGCATAGATTGAACTGACGAATCCAGTGATAAACTGTTTCAATAAATACTTTTAGGAGTAAAGATATCCGTGCACCATGCAGCGGCAAATCAACCATTGCATTACTTCTAGGCCTAGGATGTGTTTGCTTATAGTTGCATGTTTCCATTGGCCAAAAATTTAACTTGAAACTGTACTGACAAATGATTTAATCAGTCCCCTAAAGATAACCGTTTGATAAAAGGTCCCTCCAATATATTTACCGGCATCAAAAAATAAAATGCAGCTAAAAGATAATATAGATACAGAGGTTGCATTCCAACATTGTAACGAATTAGAATATATACTATATATATTATAGTCTTTTCATTAACTTTGCTAAAGGGTTTTTTAACCGATACACGTTTACGGTACCTCTGGCTAATGCAGTTTGCGTTATATGATAAAACAAGCGTCATCGTGACAGTGACATCGAATATGAAAGCTTAGCATTAATATCTTATATCTATGCAGTACGGATAACGAAACCCAGCCGGACAATGCCCACACGTACTTCACTGAATTCGGAAATGGATTTTTTATTGAAGCTGTGTAGTAAATGCTTGGTCACGCGATAAAGTATTCATAATAATATCGGCAACTGTAATCTTGCCATCTATCATCCAACTACATGTAGTCCGTTTCATAAATATTCAAAAATCACTGATCTCAAGCTTTTTGTCTCGACATCATGCCTCTTTGATAAGAGTCAAATTTAGCACCACAAATATTCTAAATAGTTATTGTAAGTGTGCATCATAATATACGTTGCAGTGCCCACTACAAATGCAGTTAAACGACTTTGTATGGTTTCTATAAAAGTGGCTCATTAATACTGGCAAAAATGAAAGATTACAAGCACTTGTATTCTAATTTAATCAAAGATTTCTGAGATTATTAAAAGAGATCCACACAAAGGTCATGCATATAATTCTCGACTTCATTCAAAAAGTATTTTGCATGGGCTGAGTAATCTTCTCCCAATTGAAAAACTATAAAAAGGAAGTGCCCTCTTGAAGTTTGTTTAGATTGTATTGGTTTGGTTTGTACTATATGACTATTATAGGATATTGTGCGCGGGAGGGAAGCCATGACATGTTCAAAAAAATCATACCTCTTGAACGTTCTTTTGTAGTCATAAAAAAAATAAGAAAAGGTTTACTTATTGGTATTTCCATGCATGCTTGTATATAATAAGTATGTCACAATGCATCACGTCATTCAGTGTTTCTCAGTGTTATCGAGCACATGCAACATGTTCACTAGTATATAGTTGGACGATCACGTATTGTTGGAACAAACCTAAGTCGAGAGCCTTCTACCGATTAACTTATACTCGTCAGTCAACTATTGCCAACGAGCTGGTAACATATCGTTAAATACTGCAATTGGACAGGTTGGTTGCAATTCGTGTGGTTTTACAAACCGCAATCGGTAAATTAAGTTATTTCATGGTGAAATGAGCTGAGTGGATCTTTATACTACCTTTATACAGCACATAGGTTATAACTTCTGACTTAAGAAAGATATACAGGATTGAAAAATTGTTGCGTGTGGTTGAATTAGATAAAAAATGCTATATTGTTGATTGTGGTCGGTCAACAGTGCATGAAAATGTAACTTGGAAATGACTCAGGCTGGTGCCGCGATCGAAGTTCTCATTAGGAGACTGGTCTAACTATTAAACCCCGGTAGAGATCCAAGCCTGTGAAGTGGTGGGAACTACCATTGTGGGAGAATGAGCCAATTAGCCAAATGCGACAAATGAATTAATTATAAAGTGAGTGAAATGGCGGCTACGACGTAGTGCATGTAGTTTTCTCCGAGCTTTCTTTAAGGTTTAATCAACGTGATAACCAAATAGAATATTCTGATCGTGAAGAGGAGGTCGGACCCCTGGAAAGATTAATCTGGCACTTCCTGGGTACGAGGTGCCAAGCAAAAATACTCGGCAGCATAGCAAAAATCCGTAAGCGGTAAACCTGAAGCCCTTGATCATGTTTTGTCAACATCAAACTACTACAATGCAAACACGAACAAAAAATATAGTGTATAATATAAACTAGGAAATACCAGGTTTTAGAAACCTATTTGCACATTAGTGCTACCCATCACTCTTCCCCCCCCCCGGTAAATGTGAATAAATTATAATTAATTGCCCTAAAATTTTGGTCGCTTCAACTGTCATGTTGTCAGATTTGTTCTATTAGCAAAATCGCTTTAAAATGGTCTTCATAGCTGTCACAGGTACGTTGTTAGAGGGATCGCGCCATTACTGTTTGAAACTAACTAACGTTATGCCTTTTGAAGCTCAAATATTCCGGATGTATGTCAAATTGTGTACTAAAACTTTATAATGTGAATTAGTATTTTGCTAGCGAATTGTTTGATAACAATCGTAACATTTTGTAAATTATTTGGGTTACGTTTGCGGATATTTGTTTCTAATTTAATTTCCTCTAATATTTCTTTGCTGCTTTACTATACAGTAGAGCGGTTTGAATTGTAGATCAACAATGCTCAATAAGTTGTCTGAACATTAAATGTTAGGGCTAATTTGTAACATCTTTTATTAAATTACCTCCCCATGTCTATTCATTTCTCCGCGTTTATACCCATCACAAAGAATAATCAAGTTCCCTAAGCTACTCTTTGAAGGTGTTTTGTGATTGGATTATGTTTTTGATACTTTTCAAACCTTTTAATGCAATTCATATATTGCAAAGAATTAGAAAACTTGTGTGGTGCAATTGAATAGCAGTTCCAGAGCCCAAATGCACCTGCTTTTATTCTGTATGATTATCACATGTGGTACATCCCCGGTACTAATGTCAAAACACCCACATTTTTATACCTAAATTTTTAAACTTGCTAAATTTAGTGCACCTTCACGATTTTCTTAATAACAGAATGTTAAATTCTTAACCTACATTGGTTTCTTTATATCACATGTTTCACATACATGAGCTGTATGTATATCCTTCATAATATATATTCTAGTAAAAGCCTTCAAAAATTAAAAATCAGGAATTTTTTCATCCATCCACAATGTAATTGTTGTGATGAAATTCTAGTTTTATTACATAATGTTAATTGGTATTACATTACTCTCAGATGTTTTCACATTTCCAGCAATTAAAAGCACCAGACATTGGAAGAAAAAAAATGTGTACACTTTATTTCCTGTTAAGCAATGCACCAAAAAATTAGGTAGCTCCAACATAATGCAAATAAGCATAATTTAGGTGCATATGATGGGTGGCATTGCCAAATGTCTTTACTTGCGAGTCCACTGATGTCCCATAATAACAATTTTCTTCATACTGTATATGTTTTTGGTTGGAATAAATTGCATTTTAAATGATAAATCAGAGATAAATTCTGAGGCCAATAGGACATTGGAATGGAAAACCATCAAACCTTAAAGTTTGTTTGGTCTTGCTCTAGTAAGAAGAAAGTATGCTAAACTAAAATAGTCACTTGAAGTTAAGACTTTATAGCAAATACAAAGCTTAATTTGCACAAACAGCAAAATACTGTGTTTTTTATTTGCACTGTTTTTGTTCACATACTGTATTTAAAAATTTTAAATATCAGTGGCTGGTCATACAAAAGTTTATAAGTGCTATCCACAGATATATATTATATTAAATCGCTCTGAAATTGCAATATATATTTTAGTGTGATTTAGATTAAACATGCGTAAATACTAAGTACAGTCTCTATTAGTCATTTCTCTATTAGCCAATCAAGCAGGGTACTGGGTCTAGTTGCAAACTGCAATCTATGGACTGTATCTATGGATGCTTTGCGGTTTGCGACTAGACCCGGCACCCTGCTTGATTGGGAAATAGCTAATTCATTGTTGGGTCAGTATCTGTAGTTTTGTTGATTTCAAAACATTGTTTAGAAAATCACTATCTGGTGTCTTAACAGTAGATCTGATTCCGGTACTTTTTTATGTATATTTTCATTAATTTCCCTTTTTTTAATGAAACTATTCCGAAGCCTTGCAACTACTGTAGTCTGTATGCTTGAAAAGAACAAATCTTCCAGACAAACCAGGTTATCAGAAATTCTATCTGCAATCCAATTGGATAATATACTCACGCATTGTTCACACGTTACAAGTACACAAAACTTTGACATGTGTATGTTTTTTCATCAAAAACAGGTTGATAATATACTCATACATTGTTCACACGTTACAAGTACACAAAACTTTGACATGTGTATGTTTTTTCATCAAAAACAGGTTGATAATATACTCATACATTGTTCACACGTTACAAGTACACAAGACTTTGACATGTGCATGTTTTTTCATCAAAAACAGGTGAAAAATTAATGATTCCACACTACCAATGCATTTAAATAAAACTGAAAACTTTTGCATCAAAATTAAAACGTTAATATTCATTTGAGCTTACTAACGTTTAAGACCGAATTTTTTTCCGTCTTGCTACATAGCAAAACCTAATTTTAATAGAGATAGAATAGTTTAATTATTTGTACAGCCTGCAAAATATTTGCGATTAAAATCCTAACTGCATGCTTAAGTTTATGGAGACGTCAGACGGGAATCGTTTAAGAACACAAAGTAACGTCCAGGAAAATTGTAACTAATAATTTTAGGACTAACTATAGGTACAGTATAGCTTATTGGAACCATAGACGATCCAGAAGACATTGAAGAATGTCTTCTTGATTGTCTATGTTGGAACCCAACCTTGTCATTTAGTTGACTGCATGAACAAAAAATTATAATCAATTACGGATAATATAGTATACACTCTCCATTTTGTTTTGGCTATCTTGTTTTTAAAAGAGTTTGCAGCATACGATCGTTGTAAGGAAATACTGACGAAACTATTCTTGCGTAACTGCATGCGTAACTACTTGCGTAACTTTCGCCCACAGTAAAATTTTTCCCAGCGTAATGCCGGCATAGCAGAGGCGTTCCCTCACTTACTGTTGGAGGACCTTGCGGTATGTTTCGTCCCTTCATTCCCCCAATAATGCTTATACACCACTGATGAATATGCTAAATTAAAAATGCTCAAGTTGTGTTTGTGTTCCGCAGTCGTTTTCTTGTTTCTTTGAGTTGCTTTTTGCCCGAAATGTCCCTCTGAATAATAGCATAACGTGCCACGTGTTCTCTTCATATCAATCTCTCACGATATTCATTCATACTAAGATTTAAATTGAATTTCGGCCCTAGAACAAGCACCTTTCTTATTACGTCCTAGGTCTCATCAACAACCTGGATTTGCACAACAATTAAATAAAACTCGTTAGCGGCCTACGCTGTAATTTAAACTTATCCTGATTGTTCGACTTTGAATACGGTCTTCGAAACCAGAGAACATCAACACGCGTCACTATTAATTTCAACCAATCACAAAAAAGCTCGTTATGGGCCAGGTCAAGTAGCCAGCTGGTCACAATACAAACGTAATTCATAAATACCCGAGTTTCTGTTTGATCTTAGGTGGTTACTACTCGACAAGAAATGCGCGTTGACAAATAGATTTAAAGTTATTTCTGTATCTGTTTTATGCGTAGATCCAAAAGAGGACGAATCAATGGAGATTTCGACAGCGGCGCATCCAGTTAGCGAGCAGGTCACCGTAAGTATTCAATTTTTTCTTTTTGTGTTTTTGTTTCCAACTAAACGTTTTTGTATGCCACGAGAGAGGGAAATTTGTTTTTAGGTGAAATTGTTTAAAATTTGGTCCTATATTCTAGTATATAATTAAGATTTGATTTTTTTATTTGTTTGTATTTTTGTTTATTTCAATGTCGTGGCAAAACTGTTTCTATTTATCCGTCCCGCAATTAAAGGCGGTAACTAGATAATAAATATTTGCCTTTGTTGATAAATGCGTGTTATTTTAAAACCGCATCGATTTTATAACTTGATTTTCGCCTGTCAGATCAGATATAAAAAAAATTACTCCAGATTGGCTTCACCTCGGGTAATAATTGAGAACTTGGTGTTCGCCCAGCTGTGGGATATATAAAGGATTTGCATACAACCGACAGGTCTTCAGATCAGCCTTCTAACTATACAAGCATTGAAAACTTTTAAGAAATAAAAAGTTTTTTTTAACGTTTTCTTTTCAGCTTAGTATGGTAAAGTTATAAGTCTAATTATAATATGCACGTTTGTAAATAATGGTATTTGTAAGAAAATAATACTAAAATTTTCAACATCAACGTTTTGCAAACGTCAAAAGTTCCAAAAAGTATGTTTACTGTATAATCTAAAAACGATGTTAAATTGAAGAGATTTCTCGGGATAGGCCGAGAAGAAAATAACACTTGAATCGAAGCTACTTTTGTTCCAGTGTGAATAGCGTTGAAATTTATAACAACGATATCCCCATTATATATTTTGAAAGAAATCTTTTCACTTGGTATTTTGCAACCACCAAAACATGTTGAAGACTTAGTTTACTGCATAATGTCAAAATAAAACTAAATTAAATGGACTTTAAGTTGTATGCCGAAAAGATAAGATTTATATCTTTTTTTTCAGTCTCAAACAGACAGATGTTCTGGCTGCGATGAAGTTGTAACTGATCGTTATTTATTAAAAGTTGCCGACACATGCTGGCATGTACGTTGTCTTAAATGCTGTGCTTGCCAGTGTGACTTGGGTCTGGAGACGAGTTGCTACACAAAAGATCGAAAGATATATTGCAAAGCAGATTACGCAAGGTACGAAGTTATATCTATACACTTTACTTTAGCAAAAATCTACAGGCTGTATCAAAAGAAGTCCTTTATAGAAATCAAACTATTGTTATAATTTAAAAGCCCACGGGTGCGCAAACATGCACAATCGAATAAAATCTAATTGCATGACACGAGATTTCCATTCAGTGCAATTTCAAGAAATTTCAAGAAATGATCCTATATTTTTTATAATTTCTACTTTAGAGAATTTGGAGCTAAGTGTTCAAGCTGCCTGCGAAATATACAAGCCAGTGACTGGGTACGGAAAGCAAGGAATAATGTTTATCACTTGGCGTGTTTCTCGTGCGCGGTTTGCGCCAGACAGTTATCCACAGGGGAGGAGTTCGCGCTTCAAGATACGAGAGTTTACTGCAAGGTCCATTATATAGAGTTGTTGGAGGCCAGTGTGTTTTGTACCAATAATGATGGTAGGTGAAACAATAAACTTGTGTCTGGTCGGATCAACACCAATGGAAATCCTAGATCAGAAAGTCCTTCATAAAAGAAGAGACACGATTTCTCGTAGCAGAAATGTTGCAAGTTTGTTTTTTTAATTCTTAGAACCCTCACTATTGAAACCGAAACGAATCCGAACGACTTTCTCGGAAGATCAACTCCAAATATTAAACGCAAACTTTAATTTGGACCCAAATCCCGACGGCCACGATTTGGAACGAATTGCTAAACAAACAGGTTTAAGCAAACGTGTTACGCAGGTTTGGTTTCAGAATTCCCGCGCAAGACAAAAGAAACAGTCGTCAAACAGCGGTAATCATCTTTTTATTTTCATACTGAGAAATTCTTATGCGATTTATTCAGTCGTTAAAACTAACATAGTAACTTGATATGTGTTCAAACTTGTTTTTATTTTTATTTTTATAGAATAGACGTCGACATCGTATAGTTGCATTGATATTGAAAGGTTGATATTGTATGGATAGATGCTTGTTCCTGACCAAAATTCTGGATCACAAATTCTCATTTTTTGTCAGTTACGTTGTGGAAGACAATCTAATTGGAAAACTCCTCTACAGTATAAAGTTTAAATTTTTGGGAGTATCTCTCAGTTTGAAATTATTTTAACTGCGTGTACGGCAGGCTGTATATTAGAAAATATACGTAACTACTACAGAAATGAGACCTCGAAATACTGTTATAGTGCTTGCATGTACCTTATAAACTACATGTTCGTGTGATGCTCTAAGATTTTAAGTCAGTTTTCTGCTAGTGAAATGAGCAAAAGCGATTGGTAAGCGGAGAAAGACTTGTTAAGACTTAAGCACACAAACATGGCTGCGCCCTGGGCATAGTTTTTGTCCTGTTAATTATGTGTTAACGTTCTATATGGAAAACTGGCTTGAACCAGATGTCTCTTTAAGAAGTCAGAGCAGACGATGAATTATCAACGAGTTTCGCGGTGTCCCGAATCATTTTAAGATCTTTCTGAATTTTGAAATCCTGTAAATCGTGCATCACATGTAAAACTCTGAATTGAACTTCTTTGTTCTGAACCGTTCCGGAACATTGATATGACCATATGGACACTGTAATAGACGAAAATATGATTTCAAAAGAGTTGTACTAGTTATAAATCTAAATTCGCTAAAACTTTGCATGTGTTTATGCTCATTGCCAGCGATGTCAAAAAAACTGTTTATTGTTAGATTCTACTGTAAGTGCATTGCTATATGGTTACGTTGTTGTAATATACATTTAAGAGAAATATATAGACTATAGTAAATGCGATTGATCTGGGAGACAAAGGCATGCATATCCCAACCTTATGCTTGCAAATAAAGGAAAGCTTTTGGCTTGCTAATAGTAATAGGTTTACACTACACTCAATTTATCGGCACGGCTGAAATATGTACCCGTACCCAATTTTTTTAGTGTTCAGGCTACCAAAACAAAGGCCGAGCACGGATGGAAATGGGCACGGGTACCCGTTTTTGCCGTGCCGTGCCAATAAATCGAGTGTAGTGTAAACGGCCGGGGCTAAAATGTGTTGTTATACTAGTAATGATATGACATGCCGTCTCGTGTTATATCACGTGTACAACGACTTGTTCCTTTATGGTTTTACACCTTTACAACTTACATGTCTGCATGCATTTCCACAACATTTCCCGCGGTTGAGCAGAGTCTCCCGAGTTAAAACATCATATCCTGTCATAGGATCTTTATAAGTTTCGTGTTTTGCCTATCAGAGGAAAAAAATAGCATTGCTAGCTGATGTTTTTGGGCAAAGCAACGGAAAGTCCGAATGGCGTAAAAAACATTGTCAAAGACATCTCTTTACAAGAAAAAGACAAGATCGAAGATATCTGATTATATCTGGGTAAACAAAAGACAAATTGTCGATGTCGAATGTAGGCGTGACGATCTATTAAATTTTACAAAACTTCAACCTTGATTGCATTCTTGTGTGCAACAAAGATCTGCCGCTCCATTTCCGAGAATTTCTCTGGTACATTTCCCAAAAACTCTGAATCATCATCACCACCAATTGTGCTTTTCTTTTTGGTATTAGAACAACTTCCATTTTGAGTAGCTGGCGATTCACTGCCGTTGGAGAGAATAGTATACTTTTTCGAGATTTCGAGCTGGCTTCGCTCATGAATATCGTCTTCCATATTGAAATTGCTTGCTTTCAATAAAAAGCCTCTGAACGTCTGCAGAGGGTTCAAATGCTCTAATAAATTTCCTTGCTTGGCAAAGTGCCTTTTATTACGACATCTTCGCGCTAGGAGCATAACACGAAATTTTATAACCTTCAACGAAAATCTGCTGAAATTCAAAAAGCAAAAACTCCTACAGCTCTGCAGACTGCTAAAGTGCTAATGTATTTTCTTTTAAAAAATTGAACATAGAGTTTCTCTTAAAACGTTACTTTACATGAAAATAACGAATATTTTAGCCAATTTTCGGCCATATAGTTGATTATCACTGGTGATGATTCGGCCTTATTGCGGCCATATTGGATTTGTTCGACTCATGACCGCTGATATTCTGAAGTGTAGGCTCTTCTGTAGTGCGTCAAAAAATTCTATGAATTATTTCCAACTCTGTTTCTAAATCAGTGAACTCCATATATATGTTCTAAATTCCAATTTCACAAAGCATGAAAGCAATTAATAATGTCTGAAACTTGTGCAAAAGTCGGAAGTCCAAAAATTAGAAATGAGTTGGTCGAGGAGTTAAGAAATCTTACAAAAAGCATCATATGCAGTCAATTGGACCCAGATTTTCCGAATCAAGTGAAGAAAGTATGGAATGCACGACTATATGAGCGGAAACCTTTGTTATTTGTTTATGTTGACAGTCAAAGTGATATCCTGGAAACATTGAAATTTTGCAAAAGGCACAAGGTTTCTTTAATGAATGCATGATTTTACTTTTTTAATAGCTATGCAGTATGCAACTAAACTTACTATAGAATAAGAAATGCGTAGCAAGCAATATGTGCTCTTAAATATAATCTCTATTTTGAAATTTGACTACAGCAAGTGCGTTTCTTTTGGATGACTGGGGATATGTTTCGAGGGTAAATATAGAGATGGTGTTAGCAGCTTGGTGTTATGCATATGGTTATGATCAAGCTATCAAGGAATGCAAATTAATGATAAATTTCAAACATACTTAAAGATACAGCTCGTATTGAGATACATCCTTATCTGGCCCATTATGTCTACAGCATATGCATATGATAGCTAAATATGATAAAATATTAAAACCACACCTAATCATTAGTATCATGCAACCATTATATATATAATTTGTTCCCATATAGCTTCCACTGTGTATTTCTAATGGAGGTACAAGTATGTTTGCTCAGGATGATGGTGCTGTTGTTATAAAACTTGACAAGATGAATGATGTTACTGTTAATCAAGAGTGCAAGGTTTTCATCTCATTTCAACTGCATTTCAAAATTAAAAACATATTCCCGATAGTAGCTGCTAGTCAGCTCCATATAAGCATTTCTACCAATATTAGTGGATTTTTTTCACCTGCTATAATAGTTCATTGTCACTTTCATATATGGCAGTATATATATAATTCTTACTAATTTCAGAAAAATGTTTTAATTGTTAATGAAAAACATTGATGAATCTAATTTGTTAATGATTAAATCATGCAGTATGTGCTACCCCTGATTTTTCATATTGTACTTGCAGTCACTGACTGTCACATATGAATTAACACATATGTCAAAGTCAGCACTTGCATATAACTTACGGTATCTAATACTGGACGTAATTTGGCCTGTTTTAGATTGTGATAATGGAACCAGGTGCAAAGCAAAGTGATGTTGATAAAACAACTACAAAATATGGCCTTGTGACAACTCTTGGTCAAGCATCATTTGTTGGTGCAGCAGGATCGGGCTTACTGTTAGGGATGGGTCTAATTGGCCGCAGTTTTGGTTTTGCAATTGACAACATTCAAGCAATAGGTATGTTATTTATCATCTGGCAGAAAAATGAAATGTTTGCTATTGTGAATTATTATGAATTAATGCCTGGGTTTTCAGTTATTGTCCTCAGAAGGAATGTTAATCCCGTCATTTCAGTAAAAGGCAAAGGATTTCTCCGTCTTAGTTTCAATATATGTTCCTTCTTGTCATTGTAAAAAAAAGAATTCCTCATGACAGAATTAACTCGAAAAAAGCAATAAAAAAGAACTCAGAATCTCGTTGTGTTCATTTCATTCAACGCAACCAAAATGCTACGTTGAAGGCCTATTTTCCTCTTCGACTGTATCATGCGTAGCGTAACGTATTCCTTTGGCTTCGTTTTAAAGTTATTAGCGTTGCTGAGCGCCCATGCAGGACTGATAAAATTACAAGGTACGAGCTACGCTGTACCTGCGTACCAACCTGACCAGGGTTGCCAGACTACTGAATAAAGTAGCCAAATATTATTGCCATGATCTTTGTTTTCTTTGTTTCCTTTTTACGAGACAAAGAAATCAAAAGGCCGACTTCCACAATTTTTGGCTTCTTCTTTAAGTAATCTGGCAACCGTGGACATGCAGTTATATCGTTCACACGGGACCGTACGAATTTGGAACCGTGCTTAAATTCGCTCGGTTCAGGTGTTCACGTGGTGAAAACTCGTCAAAAAAAAGTCGAACTTCATGCTTCAAAAGTCATACTTCAAGGCTTCATGAACTAGCTTTCTTGACGTATAGCATTGCTGTCAGTGTCGCATACTTTTCGCGTCATTCTCGTGTTTTAATATTTATATATAGTATTTCAGGTTAGCTAGCCTTTTTCATATTTTGTGTAATTGTTTTTTCTATATTATAGAGATGATTACACTTTCAGGAGAAACAATTACAGCAAGTGCAACGCAGTTGCAAGAACTTTTTTGGGCAATGAAGGGGTTCGGTCCTAACTTTGGGTAAGTAGTTCTAAGGGGCTGATTACATGGGCCGAGTTGTCCCAGCTAGCTGGGGTGGTACAATTTGCCGAGTTACTTTTCTTCATGCGATTACATGGCGAATTAACAGCAGGGACAACAATTCAGTCTATTTTCTTGCTTACTTCTACAGTTTCAATGTTTTTTGATGCGCATGTAGACAAATGCGCATGCGTTTCTGCAGAATTTAACTCACCTAACCGGGACAACTCAGCAAATTGGAATTACATGGACATATGATGTAAATCTCATCCCACCTAGCCGAGTTGTCCAGGCTGTCAACAGCTGATGTCTCGGCCAAGTGAGTTGACCCGTTTTCCATGTACCGTAATAGAAATGGGAATTTTACTAAGAGATTGCCTGTAAATTTTGTTACAACCGCGCCTTGAGTAATGTTAGATCAAATTTGACTTTGTTTATTATGGTATGATATGGGTTGGGTAAAATTGGCCAACAAAAATCATCCAAAAAGCCTTGTTAAAATTCTCATAACGGTTCTCAGACTGTGATATTGAATATAGGTATACACTCCTACAATACACGCTACTTACTGTTATGAATTCTTCTCTCCCATGCAAGGATTATCACAAAGATTCATGCCAGGTTGCATCCAATCCCAGTTAAAATCATGGCTGGAAACCTTTATTATGCTTGGGAGAACAGTGCCAGAACATTAAAGAACATGCGTGATTTCATCCTGGAGAAAAATGACAAACGATTAGCTATTTATGGCATTTTTTCGACAGAGAAACAAAGGTGATAGTGCTTTAGTATTAACTGAGTTCATTCTTAATACTGAGACGGCATCCCACATGCAACAAACGAGTGCCATGTAACGTCATTGACAATGTTTCCAATTTTATAGGGGCAAAATTATATTGTTTCTTCGTTATGTTTTCAACGGAGACTTGGACACTGGTCAAAAGTATCTCGAGGAATTTTGCAAAAAAAGCGCACCAGATTCGTGGGATGTCAAACCGATGTCTTACAGTCAGTTCCAGACAACAGTAGACTATCTACACCCTTTTGGAAACTATTATTTTGATGATTTGGGAGGTTTCCCTCTCGTGGGTAAGAAGCGAAAAAACTAATTTGTCTCTTAATTGCAAAATGACTCTATTCGTCGCGGGCGTGGTGTCTAAATTGTATAAAATCGTGGCGTCGTTCCAAGACTTCAGACGAAACAATAGTCAATTCGACTTAGCTACTGTCTTTTTCCGTCCTGAGAATCGCCATTCTCGAAACGAAACCAGATGATATAACGTTCGATGCTGTTCGAACGGTTTTAGCTATGTAGGATAGAAATGGTGAATGGACAACCTTTTATATACAGATGATTTTTAAGTGTTTTCTAAGTGGGTGATTCAGCTTCAACAGAATGCTTTTACTAAACGCCAAAGATCAAATCCATTATCCACGAGGGGGGACTGATCTGCGTCGCTGATTGTACTCAGGAACATTTAATTTGCCGGCGGATAGGATTCGGGTGGGACTTGCCTGCTGAGGGGATAGTGTCCTGGGGAAGTTACTGGGGAGGACTAGCGGTTAGGGCATCAAGGAGCTCACGGCAAATAATATGTTTTCATGCAACTTCTAAATGAAATATAAACTGAAGCTTTCTTCTCTTTTCGGACTTATATAAAAAAGTTTTGGGTCGAAATAAGTTCTTCGTCGAACCGGTAGTGTAGGGTATTTTATTGACAGAACACGTTCGTAATATACCTCTTAGTTTTAACTCACATGTGGTTCTCGTTTTTCTCCACCATACAGAGATGTCAAACGAGATCATTGATGTTTTAGTCGCTCGTTATAATGCCCTGCCTTCTATTGAAGAGATGTCAGGAACTGCTTGCTATATATTGACGACGGGAGGCGCTTACTCTGACGTGCCGGAAGAATCAAGTCCATTTTTGTATCGAGCTTCGAGGTAAAAATGATTCATTAAGCTTTCCGACGCTCCGTTAATGAAATGAATGCCCTTTACGTGGGCCATCATAGTAACAGGGTGTTCCTAAAAAGCACTCTGTTTGAAAATTGAAATCAAGCTGTGTTAGAATTAGCTTTGACAATGAGCTAAGCCGACAGGTGCGTAAAATTGAGACCTTCCCACTTAATTTTGAAATACAAATTGAAAAAGAGCTTGATTTCGAAGGGGGGGGGGGCTTTTCTGGAACTATAGATACATTTGGGAATGTCGTTAACCAGAATTATCCACCAATGTCAATGATCATCACTCCCCACTGTCTGCTAGCCAGTTCTAAATTGGTCTCTAAATGGGGTCACCCTAGTTTTCCCGGGCGGTCAATAGCCAATACATTACTGCGTAAAATAAATTAACCTGAAATGCCGATCAAGTGCATGATTATATATCACCAAGAGATCTTATAATAAATCAAAACTGTAGTAATTAAAATTTAAAAGCACTTCTCTCCAGTGCTTAACTATGCACAAATGAGGATTTTAATAATTACCTTGTCTAGTCTGAAAGACCTTGAATATAAGTTGAAGACAATATATAATTTTTCAATTGATAAAGAGATACGGTATGGCTGATAATATGAACAGATGGATTTCATTTTCGAAGGAAATCCATCGGGTAGAATACGAATATCCACTATTAACGTTTACTTGGTCTATGCGTATTTCTTAAATTTGTTTGTGAAAAGGTGGATCGTTCATGAGTGCAGGAAATTCGGTTGGTTAGATTAAATTGTTCATATCAAAATTTATCTTCAAAATTTACATATACAATTGAACGCTCGCAGAAGCTGAAATTTGTTAAAATCGATTAATTTGTGAAAAGCAATTATCTCTAACTGAACACATTTATTTAATAAAACGTTTCTTCTTATGGTAATATCTTAAATCTTGTTATTGAAATTAAGTTAATCTGCATAATCAAAATCAAAAGATGCATGTGGCGCTGAGTACGACGCTATATATAATATATATTATCTGGATGCATGATAGTTTTAACTTGGTAGTTTTTATTTGTAATTTATCCCAGCTATCTGGACAAATAATTCTTTATGGTGTGAAACAGTCTACCAAAGACTTAAGACTTGAGCCATCTGTGTGTGTTGTATCACTTGTGTAAACATTGATCCTTAGTGAATGCAAATCAGTCTGCACTATTAACACACTTATTATGTAGCATCGGTCCGAGTTCGATGTGGTCGCAAGATTTATGACTAAAAGAAAACTAAAAAATCATTTTCAATCTTCAAATGAAAGAACCTTTTTGTGTAGTTATTACAAGGGTTCCCTATAGGTTTATTTGTTCAATGTTGTATGTATACGTCAGGGCATATTGAAAGTTTTGAAAACAGTAAATATATATACTTGTGTTCTATGGCGGACTACTTCATGTAATAACGAACTCGAGACTTTCACTTTGCTGACAAGGGTTATTCAGTTTAGTACTCAGCAAGTGAAGTAGAATTCAGCATGCGAGATCTTACAGATGGAGCACTCAAATTATTAAATAAACCTATTTCAGAGATTAAATTGCATAAATCCTAGAATAAATTATACAGATGTTGTGTATGTGGCACTGGCGATCTAATCTCACCATAAATGAAAGAGTTAACGTAAAACAGAGCATTTTTTTTTCCTTGCGCAATGTTTGCAGTCATTTCACACAACCACCATTGATGGTAATGACATCGAGTAATATAATCTGAATTGCATGATTGATTTCATCAATTTATTCCAAGCAACACCCCAGCTAGTCTGCGTCTGAACGAAGGCTGACCTTTATTTCATCTTATCTTATCTAATTCACCAAGTTGTAACTGCCCAACATCAGTGTAGAAATATTGACACAAGCCACAAGCCATGAAAATAGATAAGCAGAAAGAATTAACGGCTTTATTCAGTACTGTATGAAATACACGTCACCTTTATATAATGCATACATACTTTGAATCAGTTGCAAGGCAACAACGGGTGACAAGTGGAAGTTATTGTCTGACACGGAAGCTGATGTGGTGTGTATATTAAATTCACCAAATCTCGTCAATAACTTGCTCTTTAAACTATATGAGACGTTTCCTAATCTAAGGCCATTTAAAGTGATATTTTATCAGATTGGAATTCAACACCTAGTGGAGAAATTCACCTTTGACTTGCTGTTTAAACGCCACATTATGACATAACGATTGTAGGTTTGCTTTAGTTTGTTATTTCAAGTGAAAGTGCGCCATAGAAGGTCATCCAGAAGCTTGCGAAGCAGAGGAGTAGAAAAATACCTATATACAGAAATAATAGACCATCTGATCCTGCTGTATCCTGAACAGTACAAATTTGAAGAATAATTTGTTGGATATTATATACCTCGTTCAGCGATTAACGACGCTTCGTACACGATACAGGTTAAACCATTCTTCTCACAAGCTTGTTGGAAGCCGAAGGACTTGAAGGAATTGTGTGGACCCTGAAAAACTATACTCAGACGTAGAAAAGTGGTGTATGTAAACTGTTGTCAAGTACAGCTTATATATAGACGTTTTACTGTGACACGTGAGCTCTTATTCTACATGATCCCTATATATATATGAATTGGTTTATTATCGTGTAGAGACCTATTATATAAATACGAAAGAGGCTACCGACGAGTTGCATCTTAAAGAGCACTAAGACGTTCTAATATTCGCAGGTTCTTCATTCCTTTTCTCGGTTGGGAGAACGTTTTGAGTAGCTATAGTCTATAGACCTGCCGCTAATTACTTGGTCGTTACGTATACTCTGAGCCTCTGAAGTCATTTGTTTAATACTTCCGAGTGTCATATTTGTGTTGTCTTAACACAGCAAAACAGAGACAGAAAATCCTCGTGAGTTATTCTGGCCTACTGCGAAATTTTAGCGTGAACTTTATTAGATTTCACATATAGATTACTGGATTTATATTGTTTTCACGTCGGCTCTAGTGATGGGACCTAAAGGCTTGCTTGTTATCCTACTTTTGTCTACAGCTTTGGAAAGCTCAAGTTCAACAAATACAGACCAACATTTCAGCCAAAAGGAGTACATGAGAATACTGAATCAAACAATACATGCCATAGACAGATTATTATCGTTTTACGAAGAGGAGATAGAACAAGTGAATCTTGACGCAATATTTGGACTTCGAGTCGCAGAGGGCGCGTTGACTCTAACTCGAACTAGCGACTCAACCTTGCAAGCTAAACAAACAAGATACATTTATGAAACCCTCGAAAAATTGAGAAAGCAAGCAGCGTCGATCAATATGAGAGCACAGGCTTCCATAAAAAAGCAATCAGAAAGTTATTATCGTACATTTAAGGATGTGGTTGATAAGCCATGGAGTTTTTTCCAAGACTTTGGTTCTCGTAAGCTACCTGCGATTAAGAATAGGGGAATAGTAAACGAGAGCAATGACACATGGGATGAAGAGACTTCAGATAAATGCATGTCTGAAGCTTTAGGGTCAAACCCTAACCATACGAAGTGTACGTTTTCCTCAGTATGCGTGACAGCACTTACAGATCAAAACCAAGTGGGCTACGGTCCAACTCATCAAATTCTATTCTTAACTATTGCACTGATGAACAAATGTGAGATAAAGTATTCGAAGATTTTAAAACCACATTTGGGGTATGGTGTTCACGGGCTCATAGAGAATCGTTGCAATAAAGTCATGAACGAAATGATAGCATTGGAAGAACCGCGTGTCAAGGAAGCCGACAGAGATGTGTACATGGAGCAAGGCTTTGTATGCGCCTTACACGGTTATGAGGAATTTCTGTCTTTAAAACGGTTAAGAAATATCCTTAGCTGGCAAAGACTGTTCGGATGCTTTGGAAAAATTGAGGAGGAAGATAATTCAGACGATGCGGAGCAAATGGCAAGAATGGTTGGTCATCGGAGTGAAAGAAACGTTGGATCGTTCAGGAGCATGCGTAGGCTATTGGTTGATGTGGCTGTAAAGCATGGTTGTTCTGCACACGAGTCGGGTGTTGCCGCTGGGATATTAGGCCTCTATGCCAGATGGTTGCTCACCAAAGTGGACGCAGGCATTGGGAAGCTGGGAACGGCAACAAACCACGTGGGTACTGAAATTCCGATGCAAAGAGGAATCAATAGCAGCATCATCACTACCACCACCACCAAGGATCAACAACCTCGTGTCAATAACAACGAGAACAACAACGAAAACAATCATAACGAGAAAAACATCCAGAACAGCAACAACAACAACAATAACAACAACAACAACCAAAACAACAACAACAATAACAAACAACAACAACAATAATAACAACAACAATAACAACAACAACAACAACAATAACAACAACAAAAATAACAATAACAACATTACTGCCAAGAATATTTACATCAGGTCGATGGTAATTTCGTTTGCAACTTCCTTACTAACCGTAGTTGTTATTTTGTTACTTTACAAATTTGGAGGCAGCTTATGCTCTGGTCGTAGCAAATCCAGAGGAAAGTATAGCCCTCTTATAGATGCGTAAATGACTACAACATGACGTTTTACAACTATATCTGATGTCTATGATTATAAGTTGTCTTGAAAAAAATTAACAGAATCTTTTCAACAATAACTTAATAGGTAAAAACGAGATTTTAAGCTGTGATGGAAACTGGGTCGTAAATTATTATGCAAATAGAGATACCGTAAAAGCTAAATCATGGAAAATCATACCATGTGTCAAATGCAATAAATGTAACTTAAGTACATGCAGCAAAGTATGCATTATTTGGTTGAATAGATGATCGGCTGTCTGTGGTTAATTAATGTATTGTCTACAGGAAAATGGTGTGATGTATGTGACAATATGGAGAGGGGGGGTGGAATAAAGTGATCTGCTCGCAATTACTCTAGGAATTGCTGCTGTGGAATTTTTGTGGGAGGTGGGGCAAAGCCTAAAAAATCTGAGAAAAGTATTTTTCTCTTTTCCGAACTAACTAAATTATAGGTGATTTATGATGACTTATGCTGATTTCAACGTCCCTCTTACTAGAGCTAAAAAAATCTACGCATTTTGCTTTTATCATGCATGATCTGGATGAATTCGAACTTGTTTGAAAAACAAAATTCGTTATATTTTTCTTAAACTTCATCACTTTTCTCATGTATGTCTGAATCTCAAATGAACTAAAGACTTTGTTTACAGGTTTATTTGCATTTAATTCAGCACATGCAAAGTTTTCGACTTCTGAATATGTAATATTCGGCATTTCTACTTAACCGACCTCAGACCAGCACTATAGCTGATGAATTTACCTCATCTTCCGAAGTTCAATATTCTGAAACGTTGTTCCGATGCAATCAACTTCTGTCGTGACACAAACTCGACAATTGTTCGGGGAGTGGCTCAGGATTAACCAAACATTTACTAGGTTAGCCTCAACCAACCTGCCTTTTTAAAAATAGTACGAGCTCTCACTTACAAGCTTGTTAACAAGTTGAGCAAGTCTTTGACTTAAATCACGTTAAACGTCTTTAATTGGCCGGTTGTTTAGAAGGGGTAGTTAAGGTTTTGCGATATAATAATCATTAATTTGAACTATTAAGGACTAACTACATAGAATCCTATATATTGAAGTCAATAAGTTCACGGCAACCAGGTGTAGATAATCCATCGCAATTATCGCTACTCTGCATGGTTGACTCTGCACTAATGTCGAGTAAATGGAATAATTTTTTAGTTTAAAATATGAATCTTGTTCCCTTCAGGCTGATTTCAAATGAAACCTAAATTCCTAATCCGACTGCGTCCAGTTGGACATGGGGGAACTATAGTCAAATTAAAAGGCCAGTGTGACCCAGTCATAAGTTCGCGGCGAATTTAAATATGAAATGTGCATCAGTTTTTTGACTCGCCCTATAGTGTTAGCGTGCAGTGTTCAGTGCAGTGTTCTGTAGGATTGACCAACAAAGCATATTTCGCTTCACTGATCTCAACCATGGAAGTCCCGATGAGATAAGGTTGATACGAACCAGGATTATAACTATATAGTTATGTCAGTGACAACATTGTTGCAACTTGACGTTTTCACGACAAACTAAAAAAGGCCTGAATGTTCCTATCTCATCTTTTGCATGAGTACAGTTAAATGAAACCTTACCAGTAAAATGACACATGAAACGACGGACAGTTTTTCGTTTTATGTTTAGATTTCAAATCACAAATGTATGTTCAACGCCGAATGCTGAATTTCAAAGCAAAGTTGTAGCCTGGCTCGAAGAGACCATGAAATGTTTGGCTCCTTTTAAGATGCAAGTCGATCCAAATGTAAGCGAGAAAGTGATGGAAAAACTTCGCAAAGTGAAAAAACAATATGATCCTGGAAATTTTTTCAGACATAATATCAATATCTCTCTGGAGTAAAAAAAAACTATAGTGAAACAAATAATGCAATGAGTGTTTTGAAAATGGAAATGATAAATATACGAATACTATCTGTAATAAATACCATCTGTAATAAATACTATCTGTAGCACTTCTGGATAAAATGAAATAAAAACTAGGTTTTATATAAACGTCACTGCATGTCTTTCATCGTAATTGTCATCTTCCTCGAAGATCGCTCCCGCACAGGTATCACCGCGGGAGTTCTGCATTTGGGAATGTTTGTCTACGTTTTGCACAATTACATGCACACGAGTTTGCAAGACCATTACTTTCAGGACGGCAATATATCATTGGACGTCCAGGATGAAAATTTAGATCTGATGGAGCTTTCTTGTGTAAACAAAATGAGTTTAGTTTATTGGTTACTATGCAACATCGTTATTTATTCAAAACTGAGAAAGTGTAAATATCTTCCAACCACAGTTCAGCTGGACACCTGCTACAAGTGAGATCTTCACGAATATGTGAAAATACATAAGTTACAATATTATGGGTTTGTTTGAACAAAATATCCTCATAAACAAACACAGCATGCAGCAGAATCTGATGTGTTAAAAATTTAAACTAAAAGGAATAAGGTGTAACGTTAAGGTATGTGATAATTTCCAGTTAACAATATATATATTTAGAATAAGAATTGCCTTTGCTTAGAGCTTGGTATCATTTATGTTAGTTGCGAGTTGAAGTTATGTATTCTTATCAGCACTGACACGTCTTGAAATGCAATCTACTGCATTGTTCTTGATATAACTAATAGGTAAATCATAATGCTGTTTATCTACATGGCTCCATTTATATGATAGAAACCACCAGAAAAACAAATATAACAAATATATATATATATTCGTAGTGAGTTGTATCTGTAGATAAAGTTGTGTCTTGTGAAAAAGTATCAACCAATTATAGCAATATATCATATATAGGTCAGGGACTTAAATAAACTTTAAAAAAAAATATTAAAATTCTTAAGTTCCTAGCAAATTCTAGCACGCGTATTATGTTACTTGCCATGCACTAGGCTATTATGTGAAACTTGTGTCTGTAGTGATAAGCATGAAGAGGTTAGCTATACGACTTTAGTCCTGCATATATACATTATATAACAGTATGCTGTGACGAACGACCTTCGGTTGAAACAAACGAAATGTTACGTTCTGGTTCTTTCTATCATAGAATCAATGTTATACAACGAAAACGTTACATAAATGAACGTATAGTAGATAAAGACGATAGTATGGTTACCCGATATGCATAGTTTCCTCGTGTTTCCTATACTGTAGGAATTTGTATTACATCCGTTTTCTATTGCGTACTTGTTTAGTAAGATGATGAAAATACTGTTGCCTCGTCTATCTTTAATTATTAGCTCTCGGACAAGGAACAAAAATAATGACAAAGCAAAATTTTGCATTTTTTAAAGAATTACTACGACGTCTATTCATGCATACCAACTAGGATAATTATTATAAGTAATTTAAGTCGAACTTCTATTTAAAACATGTTCCCATAAATTTTCACACCAAGTATGTAGAGTTCAGTATAGTATATTACCTTCGGGAAATTTACATGGCTGATGTAAAGATATTTAAAAATTGTTATATATCTATAGGACAAAGGGAAACTTGCGCACTTTATATGCAGTTAACCGTTAAAAAAATTATGGTCAGACCTATAACATGTGTAAAGGTCGTGTCTGACATGCATCAGTGGGAGCCATCAGTTGAGTCAAACGTTCAAAACAAATATATATATATATTCGTAGTGAGTTGTATCTGTAGATAAAGTTGTGTCTTGTGAAAAAGTATCAACCAATTATAGCAATATATCATATATAGGTCAGGGACTTCGAGGATGCTATATATACATTGATAGCTATATACTTTTATTGATTAATCAAATTTCAGTCAAAAACCAAAAAACAAAGAAAATGTGAAAGACCTGTCGTTTCACTCAACCAGCAAATCTCATTAATATTTCCCCGCCAATTAACGCTGTCTCTAGCAAGCAGATTAAGGAAGAACGACTATATTATATACAGCCATTCCAAGTAAAATTAGATTTACTATATCACAATATCTCTACGGATTGTATTGCCGGATTTTTACCAACTAGCTATATATATCTCGTCAAACTTTGTCGCCATTATTACTGATCTTCCAAATGCGTCTGCATGATGTAAATAAAAAAGTTTGCATGCATTTCAAAATATTACCTGGTTTGTGGTTCTCCACAGCAAAGATACCGAAATCCTGGAACATGTAATATTGAAATAAACAAAAGAAGAAGCGCCGAGTTCATTATGCACGATCTTTGAGTATTCTTTATGTTACATTAATATCTGTATTCAAAATAGCCATGCAACTATACCATACGTATGGCCGATAATTCAATTCCATTTCGTGGCGGTGAATATATATATATATACAGTATGTCGTCCAGTTTTTGGACACAAATTATTTTTTTCGTTATTCTTCGCCTTTAAATATCGTTCGATTGTTCAAAATTTCAAGATTTGTTTCCATGCATATTTGTTTCGAAAGTTATGTTAAAAGAAAATACGCACAGCTTCGTTATTTTTCTTGCGATTTATGAAAATCATTTGTCAAAATCAATCGACTGTGTTTTACATTCATTTTCAATCATTCAGTCACTGAGCTATATTAAAATTCCTGGAGGAAGTGCTCATCATTTTTCAGTAACTTCGCCGCCATATTTTTTACATTCACTTTCAATCACTCAGATTCATATTCATACCGAGATTTGAATATGACGTACGTTTAAGGTAAAGTGGTCGCTTCAATGTCATATCTAAATCTCTCCTGAGGCGCGAGTCGAATGAAAACCTCTTAACATTTTGAAGAATTTTGTAGTTAAGTAATTCTGTACGATTAGTTTGACTCTGTTTGAGAAAGGCGAGCTTGAAACAGATTAAAAAGTCACAGACACATGCAATTTTCCAGCATACAACACGCATCCAATATTCAGGACCTTCAGCATTATCATTGGGGGAAACCTTGCAGTGACTGCTGAAGCTTTCCTTGGCTAATTGGAAAATTACTCGAAAATAATTGACAAATATGGAAAAAATTGGTGTTTCAGATTATAACAATAAGGTGCAATAAAAAATTACGATCAATTAAGTAAATATATATCAATGGACAAATACAGGTTCCTTGTACAAATACAGCTTTAAAACAATATCAATTTCACACAAAGAGGTACAAGTTCACAAACGTAGTGTGTTCATTAAGTGGTCTACAGGACGCCTGCGTGCATCACAAAAAGACCACAGCATGCGCACCTTGTGATTCGTATTAAATTTATTCCTGTTGTTGCTATTACTTATTATCGGCATTATAGTGCGATGTTAACGTTGTTTATATGCCCCCTGAGGATTTTGTTGTTGCATTGATTTCAAGCCATTGTACCCTCTCCACATGCTTCGCCCTTTATCACTGATGGAATATTTTTCGGCTTGTAAATTGCTTCAGAGATTTCTCAACCGTCTGTCCCGTAAATGTTACCCAGTTTCCGGCTCAATTCAACCAAAGAGCGCTTTCTCGTTCAGATAACTTTAAAAGAACGATTTGAAAATCCAGCAATACGAAAAGTTCGTAAAGTGATGAAGCACAAAGACATCGATTTATGCCCAAAGATTAAAAAGTAGCAAAGGTAAACGGTTTATTTGTCTTATAACATAGCAGGAGAGTTCTTTAGTGGTCTGGGGTTTTTTAACTTATGTCGACAAGATTGATGCCTCTAATATTCACTTGAAGCAGTATTCATTGTTATTCATATGTATCACATGTGTGATATGATGGCCGAGAAACTATCGAGAGTAAATACAAAACCCTGAACTAAGAAACACGAAAAGAATTAATTGTTAGGGGAATATAATTTAGTCCATATATAGAAAGTCAATAGGCTAGCACGATAACTGATGGCTTCGCTTGGCTTGAAATACACCCCAGTAAAATATAATGATTGAAAAGGAAAGGTTCTTCCACTGAATCAAAAAAGTCGGAAAATATGTTTAAATTCTTTATCAAAGAGTTTAGACGTTCACAACATAAGCTAACTGTAGAGTATACCAACATACAATTAGACCCCATACACAGTGTACTTATATGCTCATTTCTGCATGGCTATATTGACGCGCGAAATATTGTCCAAGAGATATTTTTTAAAAATGCTCCAGTGAAAACATATGTTTCATTGCTTTGTTATTCAATACTTCCATTAGTTTTTTTACTGATTGTCTTCTCTGTCCATTAATTTTTTTACCGATTGTCTTCTCTGTTCATATTCCTTACTTATGTGCCTAATAAGTGTCACTTCAAGAATAAGATAATGTAAACTATATAAATATACCGCATGAAGAACCGCATATTTTTGGTTGAGAAATCTTCATGAAACCATTAACGTACGAGTATTCGCTAAACACTGACAGTCTGAAAAACCCTTTTTGTAATCCCCTGGCCCAAAAAATCTGGGAGGATTTCTCCATCTGGAGGATACCTTTTTGGAGTGATGACTGATGACTGATATTATGATCTGGAGTCAGTTCAATGTCTGGAGTAGTTTTTAAATTAGATGGCCAAGCGACTTTTTTCACTGCCGTTTTGGAGTGATGACTGATGACTGATATTATGATCTGGAGCTAGTAGTTTAATTAGATGGACTAGCGAGGAACTTCGACTTTTGTAGTTCAGAATCTGAAAAAAGCCTCTAAATATTGTTGCAGTTCTCGTTGACACTCAATATAACTGAACTATAAAGGAGAGACCTAAGAAAAGCTTCCATCAAATATATATTTTATTATTTTATATAAATAATAATGAATTTATTAGAATATAATTATGTAGCAACTGCTGGCATAGTATATATAGATAGCTTCATTTGTGGGCGACGAGTTTGTGAATTTATTTCTCGATTTATTCTATATAATCCCATGCCCCAACAAATGCCATTTAACAATAAGACGTTTCAATAATTTCATTTTGGATTATGCGACGCCAAACTGTCTTTAAACAACCCTAGAGCCCACCAAAATTTTAGTTCTTTCGTCTAGCTTGAAATTGCATCAGTAGATGTTTTAGCTAGGCCTTATAGTTGGCCAACTGACACTATTGCCGACTACTGTATTGATACCTAAGGCCAAGACAAATTAAGTATCAAGCATTATCAAATTTGTTCAAAATTAAATTGCAAAAACGAAGAAATATATGGCTTAGCGTCTCAAAAAATACGTTTGGAGCATATACGAATTCCTGGACATAATATTACGAAAAAAAACCAAAAATAGTTTCCCATCAAATTGGTGCTCTGATGAAAGTATAAGGTCGGTCTCAAAGAGAAATCGCTAGACTTGCTACCACCAGCTAAAGTATTATGTAAACAACATATATTAAACCATAATCTACGTTTGCAAATGTGTATATTCTTTAAGCGCTTTGTCGTTTTTGAGGAAGCCGACTAATGCATGCTTTTAGGTAATTATACATAAGGGACAATAGGACAAATATAAGAGTTGTATGAACACATAATATCTATTACAGATCAATGTCACTTTATCTCACTTCAGATCAGATAACCCTTGTGATTCACCAACACAATTTTCTTAAACAATTCACAATATTCATGGTCGGCGAGGCTTTGTTAAGGGAAAATTGATCAAAACTGACATATAGCTATAGAAAGAAAGATATTATGCCATTGCTAAAACACGTTTTTGGATAGTTTCCAAGTTCTCTTTTGTAGTGAATATATGTTATTTCTGTTTCAATGGCTTAAATATAAGATGAAAACAAAAAAAAGCGTATATTACACAGGACAGAAAATTAATACGAATTGGTTGATCTATATGCAGGGTTTAAAATTCAATAGCCGTATAATATTGTTCATCATGAGACTACAAATAGTACACAGAAGACTGCATTGTTCCCTCGAAGATTAAAAGTCGCGTTCTAAAGAAATCTTATCAAGCATAAGTCAAGTGGGTGGCAAAACTTTCGTTGAGCCAAATATATCAAGGCACCACCACCCAGGCTGATGGAATATGTTTTTCACTGGGAGGACGTGAGATAACGAAGGTGCTGTAAATGAGTTTCTCCGAGCAAACTGTTATATATCACAGACACATGGTTTAATAAGAAGGTATACTGAAGTTAAATTGAGGATAATAAACATTCTGCAGAAAAAGACAGTTCAGGATGCATGTTAAGTAATATTTGCCTAAGGATTTTTGATACCAGTATATAATCACTTTTAGAATTCGTTTTTACCAATAGAGCATTTAGTAAATATAAAAGGGCCATTCCTTTTATCAACACTATATATCAGACTTTTCCATAGTTGCATGAAATGCATGCAGAATAATTTACGTGGTATATGACCATATGTATCGACGAAGATGAATATCTAACTAGAGCTTGTTCACTAATTTTTGTCCCCGACGAAACACGACTTTATATATATACTTTACTATCTTGAGTAACTAGATTGTGGGATATTTTCTTTGTGGTAGGAGAAGTATATTGTCTTGAACACATTAGAAAAATGAGAACAAAGAGAAAAAGTATATTGATTCAGTCATTCACGGTGCTTAAATATATATGCATGGAATCTACATACACTATACCTTACAGTCTTTATAGTTATACTTAGTCTAGCAACAATCCGCGAGAGCTAATTGAAACGTATTACACGGTATATAGCTTGTTTCCCCACATCCTTTTGTTGTGCATATATATGGGAAAACAATATCTTTTACAAAAGTTTAATTGAAACCGTGCATGATATTTACTTTAGCTAATTAAACACAATTCTTCTCTAGATTTGCGATGGCATTCAACAAAGATGGCTACGTGAAGAATGCCAGTGCCACAGAGCGGCGTTGGTTTTTACTCGCTGTTGGTCTCTTTACTGTATTGTGCAACGTTAGCCAAGGTGAGAAAGCTAGACTCATCATCACTGCTATAAGGCACATTTCTGGCGAGTGTCACTGCGTGAATGTCTGATTTATTAAAGAATGCCCTATGACTATATGTCTAATGCTTTGTAGACATTTACAGATCTTACCCTGTCCATAACATATGTCCGACAATTCAGAAGCCATTCTTTAACCAGCAAGCTAAAGTATATTTAGCGCCATACATTGTTTCATTTTAGCCTCTGAAGTACGCTGTGGTATCTTAAAAATTAAAATATTTCATGCTCGTGTGGAATTTGATAAGCTAGAGGTGCAAAGTTTTTTCAACTTTAACCATTTATAAATATACATGTCTCTCTTTTAGCAAAGAGAACGGTGTGTGTACCACAGCCAATAAGACACGATGTCACAATTCTTGGCGAGTTAGAAGCGGGGAATTTCAAAAAATTGAGCAAAAAAGCAAAGGATATGAGTGATTGTCTTCGCAAAGCCTGCAACACTCAGCAAGGGAATATTGCTTATCTTTCTGGACAATTATGTTTCTCTGTTGCATGTTTCAAACTGGACTCATGCGAACTTCAACCAATTCAAAACTCTGGTACCAAAACTGCCGGGGCCCTTTATCGTATTATAGGTAAGGTCTTTCTAGGTTATGAATTAATAAGTCTAGATTATGGTCTAGACTAAATTATACCCACAAACACAAACTAGCAGTCTTGAATGTTTGGAATTATTCTAAAATTTTAAAACTGAAAATCCTGTAAATCCAACTAACAAATCTTGACCAACAATTTTTCAAACATCTTAACAAGAATTAATCAACTTTCATTGCTGCTTACTCATTTCATGATGAGAAATAAAAGTTTTCCACAATAAATCTCCACCTGTACTACTCATAATAAATTCACATCTTTCCATAGATGCCTATCCAGAATTCAATAGCCCTCGAACTGTGAACGTGCTTGAAAATGCCCCACTTTTACATCAAGTACTTCGCTTTGAAGTAACAGCGGAAAGCAGAACGGAAAGAGAAGAGATGATGAGCTATGAAATAGTTAGAGGTATTTTATTAAACCATGTTTTTTCAATCATTCAGTTTGGAATAGTGTTATTAGGATTTGGTTTCTGCTGCCACCCAGTATATCAGAATACCCTAGTATGTAGCATGTAAGGTCAGTAAGGATGCATCCTCGTTTTAATGCCGGGTATTCTCTTTGCCCAGACTTGTAAAGAGGGCACTTTCAACAATGGCATGTGTCTGACTTAACTTGTTCTCATTTAAGCCTGTTTCTAAGTACGCAACTAACAGTATATAACATTAACATGATTATCGACAATCAATTTCGTTCCCAGGCAATCTCGCTGGAACTTTCCTTGTCTATCCAAAAACTTCAAACTGGGGTTCCTTTATTCGTTTACACAAGAAACTTGATCGAGAGAACATAACTTCATATGGAGTGCAGATAAGAGCCACAAACTTGAAAGAAAATGTCAGCAGTTTGCTCAACGTAACCATTAATGTCCTGGATGCAAATGACAATCCTCCACAGTTCCTAAGATCCCTATTTGTATTTAGCGTATTTAGTAATATGTCTGTGGGTTCTGTGATTGGTCGTACGGTTGCTAAGGACAACGACACTGGTGCACAAACAAAACTGGAATACGCAATAAAGCAACCATCTAAACTTATTTCATATGACAAGAGAACCGGTGAAGTTAGACTCGAGGAAAAGCGAACTGTTGACACAGTTAACCAGTTCGATTTCGACATAACAGCTACAGATGGCCTCTTCTCGACAAAAGGCAGATTAAGAATCGTACTTTATCCAAATAACATCAATCGGCCTGTCTTCGAGAAAACATCGTACGAAGTTCGTCTTAACGGACAAGTAACGTTAGGGACGGAAGTTTTGCGAATAGTAGCGACCGATCCCGACTACGGAAAACTTGGTGAACTGACGTATGTAATTTTAAAAGGCGACGAGGATGATGTTTTCAGTATAGGTAAAGATGGTATTATCAGAACTACCTATCAAATTCCACTAGACAGGGAAATTTATAATCTGACAATTGGCGTACGTGACAACGGTTACCCAGAACTCTATGCGATTACGCCAGCCAATGTTGTCGTTTTATTGCAGTGGATACGTTTTAAGCAGGATATTTCTGAAACAAAAATTCCAGAGGATTTTAAGCTCCTGAACACGGTGTTTACTGCAAGTGCTTCTCTTTGGGTTGGCGGTATCCAAGTTATGGCTGGTCAGAGACAGAGAGCTACGCAAGGAATCAATTATTATTTAGATGGAGGATTCCGAAGATTTCAGATGGAAGAGACGTCTGGAGTGATTACATTACATGAAAAATTAGATTATGAAACCAACAAAGAGTACACGTATGTTGAAGTCATATATTTGACCACTAGTTTGCTAGTTTTCTTCTTTGGAGATCGCTACCTCACCAAGGCACTAACTCTCCCGACTAAGGCCCTCAGGTCGAAACGTCGAGAAGTGTTTTGTCTATTTTAGGCAGTTGTTATACCACATTTGATGCTATGTTGAATTTATATTTAAGATATATCTTAGTTAAATATGACAGCAATGTTCAGGACTGATCAGAGGAGGGGCAATTTACCCCGAACAACAGGAAACATTCCCCCCAAGTTGATTTTTCCCTTGGCACAATATTTCTCTGAATGACACATGTTCTTTCTCTTTCTCTGAATCTTTCAATAGATTAGTGCTCAAAGCTGAATATGAAAGTGCAGACTCAACATCCATTAAAACAGTCCTCTCAGGTAAGAACTGTTTGCTTCTATTTAGTTGGCGGGAGTTAATCATTAGAAACTTAGTCCAGCCAAACATTGCAATGCAAGAAGCAAGTTTCTAAGAGTTCTTCATTAAATTCAATATGTGCATGAAATCAAAGATGGTGTCGCGTGTATGAATTTTCATCCTTTAAAGTCTTCGTCAGATACAAATACTCTGATATAAAATACTTTGTATAAAATATTTTTTGAAATAACGTTGAAAAACACACATAAAACACTATTGTTTCTAACTGACACTTGTAGTGCCCCAGATCATCAGGTCCGTGTAATTAAGGTGGAAAATGTAGTTTGGTTTCCAAACCTCCCAGCTCTGCATTTTTATACTTTTGACAAGAATAATATCTTATTGCTTCTCTAGCAAGAGCAATTCTCGTTGTAAAAATAATCGACTTGAATGATAACGCCCCAAGATTCTCGAAACATTTATACACTCATGATATATGGAAATCATCAAGTATCAACTCTCCAATCCTCAAAATCAACGCTACTGACCTGGATGAAGGTTTAAACGGTCTCATTCACTTCGAAGTACTTTCTGGGAATTTTAACGAGACTTTCTCGTTTGAACCAGATGGTATGGTGTTTCAGAAAAAGTCATTGCTACATAACGAGGTGAGTTATAAAGCCTCATTAAGGCAAAGCTCATATTTGTGTCATAATATTTTATAGTTTATTGCAGGGAGGGAGTATTGTGAAAATTGTGCATTTATTACAACCAACTTCTCTGTCAATATTTAACTGAAAACAGTAATTCAGGATTTCTACAAAAGTTATAATTTCGCGACTTGAAAACAAATGTGCAGTTCTTGGAAACACTTCCTCGTTCGTAGAGCAGTGGCAAGCTTCTCCGTTCAATTACACGACTTCTCTCAACTACGTGATCTACGTTAGTTGAGTTTTATAGTGTGAATACTTTGTTTTTTAGCATTCGATCTTTAATATGACCGTTGTTGCATGGGATAGCGGTGAAGAACCTCGGAGATCACCCCGAAGTGCATCAGTAATCATAAGTGTTAAAGGGCACCTGCCTAGAGCACCTGCATTTGCCAGAGATTCCTACAATTTGCTGATATCAGAAAATGTGAACATTGGTATTCCTATTTATCAAGTGAATGCAAGCGTAGTAGACAATCGATGGAAGATAACGTATTGGTTTCGGAACTTGGACGTCAAGATGCCGTTTCGTGTAGACCCTAAAACCGGGTGGATATACACGACAAAAAAACTGGACCGGGAAGAAAAACCTGTGTATGACCTTACATACATGGCAATTGCAGGTATCGATAAGAGAGTTTCATGTTATTCTGAGATTAGTTTACTACTATAAATAAGCTTCATTCTTATGGATATCAATTTTTTTGCTAAATAGATTTATACAACAATTTCATGGTTGTTTCTAGACTTAGATGATCAGTCATCTCTGATAACGAAGGTGAATGTGACCATCAGACTTGGAGATGAAAACGACAATATACCGACATTTCCTTGCTCTTACTACTCGACCGTGGTAACGTCACTAGGACTGGGAATGAGCGTGATGACTGTTCAGGCAATAGACAACGATCAAGGAGAGAATGGCAGAATTGAATATCTTATAATCAAAATATCTGATCACCAATACTTTTCTATTGATAGCAGGTAGTTTTCAGTATATAGCACTAAAATTTTATTTGGGCTAAACTCTGTCTTAACACATTGTCATGAAAAGATGACTATGATTTGTCGGCAAAACGTTGCATTATTACAACCTTAACAACCTTACTTGGTTAACCACAATTACCACGCTGGCATTGAAAACGTATATGGGAAAGTACTCTGGTTTTCGTATGAAATTTGGCCGGCTTTTATATACTTCACTGACTATTTGTATTTCACCGACTTTATTAAAGTACTTTTGTATACAAAGCAAATTAATTTTTTTGTTTTATTATTTCGCAAGTTTCTCACGTCGCGATCGGCATGCTATAGACGGATTCTAAGTTCGCTAATATTAAAAATGAAGGGCTTATTTACCGCTCAAGACTTTCCAAACAAATGATTAACTCATACCCGCCCCATTAGGTAGTATCGTTCCAAATCAACAGTAATAATTTAACCCATATTTTCATTTACTTTATAAGGAGCGGTGAAATTACAACAATACGGCCCTTACCGACAACATCCTTGCTCGCTCTGAAGATTTTCGTTTCCGCTAAAGATCATGGAAATCCGGAACGAAGATCATCCCTTAACCCCGTTCCAGTGTTTGTTATTATTGGTAGAGTATTTGCAATCCAGGTCGAGACGTTGAGACGAACTACGACAACAATCACGCTGAGGTTCACCATGCTTAATGTTAGTTTGGCGGATATCAGTCATATTGGCGTGGTTGTTCAAGCAATTGAGAGCATTGCTGATTGTAAGTAATTGCCTTGCATTATCAATTCTTCGTGAGTAGCTTTGCCTGTTGCTCTACATGCCTTGATCGGATACTAATCCTCAGTTTCGCCGTTACAACTAAAGTATTTTATCTTTGAAATAACGTTTGACCATTGCTACTTCAAGATCTGCTTCGCGGCATGGTTATTGAGTGAAATGGTTTGGGATTTCGACGACAGTACTCATTAACTATATTTATGAATAGATTTATGCAAAAATTTAGCTGTTTATTGTCTCGCTCGCGTTTTCTTTTCTTTCCCAAATAACCAATACAGAAAGGGATTGGCCAATACACAGTGTCAACAGTCGAACGATTCAAATTGAATGAATTTAAAGAAATTCACTGATTTTGCCAAGAACATGCACAATACATGCATGAATACACGCATGCACAAAACGTGAACTACACTTTCAAGGAGCCGGTTCTTCACCATCTTAAGACTAATTTCCACTCAGGAAAACTCTCCTTTGGATCGGAACGGACAGGAAAAATTCCTTTGTCGGTGAGTTCTGAGGCGGCGTTTATACAAAGGAAACTTTCCTGTCCTGTCCTCAGTCCTATCCTGTCCGATCCAAAGGAGAATTTTCCTGAGTGGAAACTAGCCTTTACTTTCTTACTTGATCAATTAACTACGTATGATTATTCCTAACTGGAAAATGCCCCAGGAGGGATTTTAATCCCGTCAGGTGGGATTGAACGAATCGTGGTTCATAATAACGTCAAACGCGGAAAGTCTGATGTTACACGAAGTTTGATTGGCTCTGATGTTACACGAAGTTTGATTGGCTCGATAGTTTTGTGGAGCCAATCAAATTTCGTGTAACATCAAATTTTCCGCGTTTGACGTCATTATGAAATAGGTCTATTGCTGTCAACTCCTCAAAAAAATGCAAGCTTGTATGAGTAAGGCTTGCAATATCTTTTTAGATGGCGAAGTGACGAAGCGCGATATAGTATCATGGCACTATGTTCACACTGCACAAAACAACGCTGCTTACGCACAGCGGTATCTAACAGGAAATGTCACGTGCACAGATGAAATAAGAGACAAGAAATCGTTTGATTTCACGGTGGGCTCTGATGGCGATGCGTGTACTTCAAATAAGGAGAAGTTTTGTAATGGAAAACTAGAATCAAAGAAGGCATACAGGTGAGACTTTGGATAGCGAGTGGTTGAGTTTTGTGGATTTTCATTTTCCATAATATTTTAGCGCATAGTAAATATATATGCACAGTGCAGTTATGATTATCCCATCCAGTCTCAGATCCCTCCCAGAGTCTCATTAAATCATTTCGCATAGATTTCAACTGGTCGCATATTTCAACAATGAAACATCTCCTGAAAATTTCACCAGTATCGAAAGCAATATAACATTGCAGCATGAAACAGGTGAGTGGCATACTCTGTGTGTTAGGCTTGCAACAATGCAAGCAGTAGTTCAACCTATGATTAATTTATTATTTATTTAAAGGCGCTAAAAATGCAAGACAGACGGCAGGTTTTCGCAGTTGGCATTATGACATCATTGTTATTGTGATTGGTGTTTTTGTGGGTATAATTATTCTGGCCACTATTGCCAGAGCGATCATGCTCTATCGTCGAGACCAGTTTAGGTAAGCGGTTTGTGGAAATTGACTGTTAAACATGAAGTTTAGGGTCCTGAGGCGTGCTGGCGCCCCACAAAAACATCGCATAGGTTCCATGGGCCCACCACTGAATCTTCCCTACCGAAAATAATCGATCATAAACTGTACGACTTTCATAAGAAGGTTACTCTTCTTTTGTCAGCTGGAATAATTACACTGACAAGTTCTTTTGCACCGACGAGTAAAATCCCTTAACATAAGACTTTAAACGAGAGACAACTATATTCTTAATATTCTTGCTATTGCAAAATAATAATAAATTTGCATATTTAGGATGAAAAGCGACGAAGCGAAAGGTGGTATATCATATCCACTGAGTAATCCTCGTTACAGAAGATCAGGCACACCACGAAGTTCAAGATCAACCATGGCTATGTCATTCACAGAGCTAAGGTTTGCAAGGAGAAGTTTTATGCTAGAATAAATCTCCATAAGCAAAGGCTTTTTCATAGAGGGTGTGGATGCATTTAGGGTTAGCATTAGAGGAAGGAAGGGCGATAAGATTTTACTCGTTTTTTTGGACAGTTTTATTACTGGGATAAAGTTTCGGACTAGAGGTGGGATTAAGACAGGTCGTTTTGACATTCAAGCATTGGAAACATAGAAATTTAGGAAACTATAGATCACTATAGTTAACGAGGACAATCGTGCAACAGAATGACGTCACCGCGGTTATAAATCTTAATCTAATCTTTTCATTCTTAAATGTAGTAAATCCAGAAAACTCGATAAAAAGATGGATAAAATGAGCCCATGTGATACAGGTAAGAACATGATAGTGTACAACTAGGGTCAGTTGTATCATGGTTGTATAAAAGACTAGTTAACTTTTAACTGTAGTTAAGGATAGAATTGGCCAATCAGAGTCGTGTATCTTAGTAGTTAGGGTTTAACTATGCAAAATGTATAGTATTTCATTTCTTGTTTTTAAACATAAATTAAAACCATAATTGAAAATTTTAAAAAAATTTACGATCAGCGAGCCTGCCTAGGTTTTTCTAAAACACTGACCATCAAAAATTCAACTGAAGAATTACCTCAAATTTTAGGCTTCGTAAATTAACTGTGATTTAATACATCTAACCATAGACATAGTCCTTAAACGTTATCAATAGAGATATAACTATAATTGTTAAACATTAACTGAAGCTATCAAATACTGCCTTTATGAACTAGGAAAAAGATTACAATAAATAGGCAGAATTAAACTGCTAGCTAATAGTTTAAACTAATTCAGTATCATTCCGTCCTCCTAATTTGCCATGGATAACTCAAGAAACCCTTAATAAAAGCAATATAAACACGAACGTTAGTCAAAATAAACGTTGGTCTCATAATATGAACAAAGTGGAGAGAAACGTGGTGTAAATTAGATTGGTTTTTTAAACATTTTGACATAAACCCCGAATTTAACGTAGTTTTTAACGTATAGTTTTCAAGGTATATTTTTAAACGGAAATTAATTCATAATCTATCCTAATATTAGAACGGCTTCCCATGACCGAAGGAGAGGGTATATCGCGTGATTCTGGCTGTGGTGTGTCAGTCAAATCGTCAAACTCTGATATACATCACAGGGGAAGAACTGCTGTACGCAAGGCATTTTTTTCATTTGGAAAAAACAAAAAAGGTGGACGATTTAAAAATTAAAAGTATAAAGTATTAAATAATAAAATACTCATTTAAATAAGCGACTTCCTCTAAACAGAGCAATAAATTTGTACCGTTGTAGGCTAAATTAAACTAAGCTACATTTAATATTTAATTATTCATATTCATGCTGGACCATGCGATGCATTGCAAGTTTGAAAGGACTTTCAGGAGCAAAATCACCTAGATGGCCATGAGTAGATAAATAAGTAGTGGTGTCCTTTTGTTTAGATGAAGAACAACAAGATGAGGTGGAAGAAGATGGTTCCGATAAAGAGATGGAGACAGAAATAAACACCTAACTACAGAGGAAGTAGCTAGTGTTGATACGAGCGTGATTGCATCGTGAGGTACATGCTGGAACTGTGATTCTGATCTTACGGTTGACGCCAGTGAAACTGATCACCCCTTGGTTTAAAGAATAGCATAATAGCCTAAACTACATCGATCATCCATGTTCATGTACTGGGAATATTAGCTCTAAGCAAGTTGTTGATAGCCAACACCAAAAATTGATATATGATGTCTAGTCGGAAGTCGAGACACTATATTAACTTATTGTAAAGATACATAGAGACAAGATATATACACAATATATATAGTATAGATTAATGTTTGTGAATATAAGGTAAAGTACATACAACTTTATCGCTCGTAAAGTGATTGGTATGCAAACCCAATTGGTTTTATATGCAAACTGAAATATATATTTGGTAGATATTATTGAGGTAAGACGTCAGCCATGCTACACTAGACAATAAATATGGGCTTGAATAAATATGTATTATATACGGCAATAATGATCTCTGAAGGTTTAAATCAAATAAATAGCATCACAATTAATGCATGAAGTTCGTTATGCTTTTGACTAAAAACGTGTTTCTTAATATTGAGTGACTGCAAACTTTGTGATTTGTTATCTGCAAAACTTCCGTCCCTTATAACCATGGTCACGATTGACTGTTATTGTAAAAAAGGAATTCAAATTGCAGTTTTTCTTTTCTTTTCTTTTTTGGACCAGGAACTGGTCCCTTATCGCTGTTAATATTCTTCTTCCTTCCTCTTCTTCTTCTTCTTCTTCATCGATTGACGGTTTTCGACTTTTTATTTTTTACTTTTTACTTTGGAAGCAAGTTACAAGCACGTTTTTCAGTAAACGCAAACAATTATAAAGACATTGTCTTCTCTATTGTTGTAAATACTAAATACAATCATGCACATTTAGGCTATGTTCACGCACGGTAACGTTTTCGAGCGTTCTCGCATTCGTTTTTATGACAAAACGGTTTCAAACACCGTCAATATACAGCTAATTCAACATATTGAGCAAATTTTTCCTTGGATCGCGTGGACATGGCGTCTAAGTAAAAGAGGAGACAAAAACAAATTTGAGAGCGCTCGAAAACGACGTTCATTTGCACATAGCCTTAGTGTAAGGCTTCTCAAGAATATGAACGACTAATCTTTTGTTTATCAAGTCATAATCTTGAAGCTCTTGATTTGCGCAAGATAAGAACTTGGTCACACAGTTCCTGGTCCACTATAGTACAGTTCTTGACAATTGTGGCTAGATAATTGCTGACGTGTCCTTAAAATCCTTAATCCTTAATATGTCCTTAAAATCATCTAACGGCGTGTTGCACCAGGGAATGGGAGGGCATAAAATGTCAGGACTCATGCAGGCTCTTGTCTTGTCAAAACATTTTGGACATTTCATTCACAACGAACGGCAAACCTTGACATATATTATGCCAAGTCCTGGTCAGTCTCTTTGTCGAGCCTGGTTGGACTGTTGACGTTGGGCAAGATACCGTGAGAAAAATATCTTTCACAAAGGATTTTTTATCATTTAAGACAGACATGTACGCTTGTGTTCGTCCCTGACTGTCTGGTAAAGGATAGAAAATAAAGTATTTCCGAATAAAACGAGAAATAGCTTGAGTAGAGGACCACGTTCGGGTGCATAGTTTGATAGTCTTTTCTAGATTGCATCTGATTGCCACGTTGGTTTTCATTGTCGGTGAACAGTTTGCGGAACGTTTTGTCCTCTTGTCGCTTAAGAATGTTTTCAAAAGCACTATTAGTCTATTATTATGACGGCTGAGATTCAATAATCAAGTATCATGGACAAGTGCTTCCGAGATCGCAGCAATATACGTAGATTCAATATTCTCCCACGACAGGTCGCAGGAAAGAGTCCAGTGAAACAGTGTAATATGTATATTCTATGATTCTCCACAAATTCAAATTCGAGACTAGCTTTATTTATCAGTCTGTATATCTACCACCGATAAGCTTCTATTTGATGATACTGAGTAAGACCGCTCAACTGAATTGCAATTGCTAATTTGCACGTTATATATTCAAACTGTTCTTCCTTCCTAGAAATTTATTTACTGCTATATAATAATAGGCGTTCAGTAATTGTCTGTCAACTTGCATGGAAGCCTGTTTGAAATGCGACTAGGGCGAAGTTGTAATCATAACTATCACTGCCGGAATAGATTCTTAAACGCAAAGATAAATCATAGACATAGTGGAAACACCATAATGAAGCACTAAAGAACAATATATCAGTGGCACTAAAACCTACAGTCGTGACAACAAAGATTACTCATCTTTTTAACAACTGGAGAAACAGTTTATGTAATAACGAATATCCTTAAACACTTCAACTATATACATTAATGTTAAATTCTATTTACGACTACGATTTAAATACTTAGTATTGTCACTAATATTCTACTCCCAAATTACTTATCAAAAATTAAATACTGTACTCTACACCATAGTGACCATACTGTCTGTACAAATCAACAAATGTTCGCCTCGCGAAAATTGTGGATCTTATCCATTATTGTTATACTAATGCCATAGAAGAGGCAACTTCATATTCCAATGTCATCGTTTCTAAAAGTCCCAGTTGGCCCGCCTCGCCTTAATATAATTATTATTACCTTGAATCAGACAGTGATATATTGGCACTGCTTTCAAATTCGTAGGTGCATGGATGGATGGCATGACTGGACCTAATTGATCAAATCATAGGCTGTGTGAACGAAAACAGGAACTCCTCTGAATCTACTTCAATTGTATATGCTAATATAAAACATATTTCAGCCATTTACTAAATTGGTTCTATAACTATATATTATTCACTGGCAGAATCAGATTTATCAATTGATGCCATCAAAGCGGTTTGGTATTCTTGAAAAAAACGGTCAAACAGGGTAAGATGATTCTTAAGATTTACTGTTCCAAATGTATGCGATGCCAATTCAAATCTATGCATCTCTTCCTGGTCTTTTTCGGACTGAAGAAGATCAAAAACCTCTTTCAACATCGACCTGTAATCATAGTGAAAATTTGCTATATATTTTACCGTTGCGAAGTGAACATCTAAAATATAAGTTGAGCAAAATATATTCCTGTATTCGTTTATAGTATATTCCTCTTCCTGCATAGACACTCTTTGCAATTAAAGCCCGTGGAGTTCGATATAGTTAAATCAGAGTGAAAAATGGGAAGCGATCTTCAGTCACCTTTTATTGGTTGATGTGAACAAGTGACTAGTTACGAATGCTCTAATGTAAAAGAGCTCTTATTTGAACATTCGTAACTAATTCACTTGTTCACATCTATCAAAAGAAGAAAATCCCATCTAAAATCGCAACAAAAATTGCAAGTATAAACGAGCCTATATATGCAAAGCTAGCCTACTTAACAGACTAAATTACCTCATCGCTATTACATGACGTGCTCATGTTACAAATTCCTTACCTTGTTGTTTCAATATTCTTCATCTTTTCCTCTATTTTGCTCTTCATTTTCTCTTGTTTGTTCCCATCTTCTTCGTCTTTCTCCACGCCGTCTCTCAAGCTCTCAGTAGCGACTTCAGCCAACATCTTATCAGGAAAATAATTCATATTCATCCTCAGGATTCCATCCCCTAGAACTCTGGCTTCGTTCTCGCACATTTTGGACATAATAGTGGGTCGTGAAGCACGATTTGCAGACACGATCTTGTACTTATCCAGCAGACTGCGTCCAGAACTTTTCGAGTGCCTTACATAGGCCACGAGGTCGACACGTGTCAGATACTCTGGCGCACCACATCGCCTTTTCAGTTCGCCATATGTAATACCGTAACGCGTCTCCCGGCTGGATGGCAGACTCAGAAGGCCATTTATGTGAGCAACCTGGTGATCTTCAGGAGTGTTTTGAAATGTTTCTGCAAAATCTGAAATATATTTTCCCGAGCTTAAGTTGTCTCCATCTGTCTCGCTATTTCCACTATCAATCGACTCTCGTCGTTCTGCGGGAGAAGGTTCATCTGAAAATAAGCAACATAACGTTTTTCATGAGCTAGAGCAAACAAGAAACCATATCTCAACTTTGAGATGAGAAGCCACCATTTCGAGACTTGATTTGCTGAATAGACATGGGGAAAATATTTATTAAGAGTTGGAAGTTCCTTCTGTTTGACAAATATCGTTTAAAATTAATTTCATATCAAAATATATTAATTATACCTATGCTTTTTCTTGCTCGTTTGCTTCTTCGATGCCCAGCAGAGTTTCCATCCTCGACATTAGGGGATTTATTACTTGCTAGTGAGACAACCTCTTTAATCAATGGATCATGATGACCCAATGCTGTCAGACCCTCACTGCTCGATTTTCCTTCACCTGCTGAACTAGTTTCATTGCTATAACGACGCTTAAGGAGGGGGGCTGAGTTCGGGATAAACTTCGGGTCGAACTCGGTCATGATTGGATAAGTGGGAAGCGGATATGATCGAATATGTGGTACTTCGGTTGGGGCCATAAACCCAGGGTACCAATTGAAGGCAGTTCGTGGTATGACGTCGGTTCCGGTAGGGTGTTTTCCCCGGGCAAACAACACCGGGTCTTGTTTTCGATAACCGAGTAAGGATTTATGCGAAGAAGCCGCGCCTCGCATCAGCTGATACAGTGATTGTTTCTCTTTCCATTCCTGTGTGCGTTGCTTAAGTATTTTCTTCACCTCCTTCTGTCGCTGTGCCCAGCTGTGTTTGTGTGCATTGTGCATATAGCGAGGAGGATTACTACGGGGACCCTGTAAATATTATGAACTGAACTGTTTAATACCATCGAGCAGCCCTTTGAAACACAAACAGCCAAACTTTTCTCAATGAGTTTTAACTGATTTGATCCTAACCAAAATCGAAGAGTTTCGCTGGCATTTTCTGTCTGAAATTTTAGGTGGTGAAAACCGCGGACGAATGTTGTAAACCTCGTCTGAGACTGGTTTTATCCATGCCTTATTACAATTAAAGGAGAAAATCGATACATGGGTACTTGTATGTGAATTGTGTGTAATTCGGAATCACAAAAAGTGACCTACCACCATACGTCGTGCTTGATCCATTATATTCTGTGAAGACGTCGGTGCTCCAGGTATTAGACTTTGGGTATTATGCAGTAACATTGGAGTACTTCTTGGTACAGGTGAGATTACAGTTGATATGGGTGAACTTGTGCTGGGTTCTGGTAATGTTTCTTTGTTGCTTGTATCATCGGGACTATCACTGGAATTGTTACTTTCAGCTGCACTTGCAGAGACGGTGTCAATCCAAGGCTTTCCAACTATTGCTTCAGGTTGGCTTGCATCGGGTTCCACCTTTACTTGCAGGTTTAGTGAGCTCTCTTCAAGACAACTTTTGGCTGCTGCATCTGAAAATATAATAAAAAATCTTACCATTTGGGAGAGGATGAAACTGATCAATTGAAATTGTCAAAACGTATGAAAAGTTATGTCTAATTTGGTTCACCGTTGAACAAGATGTGGAAGAATTGTGTATTTAATTAATCTTGGGAGATAAAACAACACAGCATCTTAAAAACGGTTTTTGAATGCATGCATGTTGATCTATTTCAGACAACTATAAGTTACAGAAATTGAGATCAGGTGTAGAAGTATTGGACTGAAATCAACGTCGTGATTTGGTTCGACTGCTACATATACGTGATGCTCTTTAACCTAACCTAAACATCTTTACTCTAATACAAAGTAATCGTAAGTTGACCAACTTGTTCTGCACATTTGCAAACCCAATTTATTCATACTTGTGTCGCCGCAAGGTTCCTAATGAACGCCCATATATTCGTGAAAGAACCGGTAATTATAGAATTACCGCGGTTTCTGCCCGCCGGAATATTTCATAATTTAAAATTACATTACTAAAAAACTATTAAAGCTATGTCAGTATATATACAACCTACAGTATAGCATCATCTTCAAACACATCGCAAGCTATCCAGCATATTACTTGTTACACGAAACAGTTACCACCCGTCTTCATGGGCGGTCTCAGTAAAAATACACACGCGATATACGTCGTACTTGAAATACAAGCGCGCAATGCCACCTAACAATAGATACGCTGACGAAAAGTGACGGAAAAGGTGCCAAAACCGCAACGGAATTGCTCAATCTTTGATCATTACTGCCGGAACTTTGCTGGCTGGAAACCTCAACACCATAGTGTTACCCCTCAGCTTAACAACCGGTAGGCGGTAATAGATCGAAATTGAATTGTGCAATCCTGATTTCAACATATCGTAAAAGAAAGATATTCATAGACTAGGTCTCTCCAGGAGTGCTTCCTTTTACACTCGACTGATGTACCTAAAACTCTTTGTCTCCCTAAAATCTCAACTACTGAGGTCGCCCCTGAGACTACTAACACGTCTTTACATGCACAGATATAATTTAATACTCAAATTCGTCCCAACTCGTTTCTTCCCCGGCAATGTATTGACCAAGGCGCCTGATGCCAAACACTGACCAAAACCATTATTACAGACACATATCAAGTGAATGGGCCTTTTGAAAAGCGTCCCGACGTTCAGTATAGAATGCAATGAAGTATAACGCTCTGAAACCGATACAACCATTGCTGGTTTCAAGCTTTTCAGCTGAGCCACATGCATGCATTCTTTAAAAGGCAAGGCATTTGTTAAAATACTCAACAGCACACTAAAATACAAAGCTACATTTTGTCTTTTTATTTTCATTTTGTGTGCGTGATCGCGGTTTCCGGGCGTGCATCTTATGATTTTAATAAGATGATATTATGGAGGAGGAAAAAAAACCTACATTACGTTTTGCTTCTTTAAAAATTACAGCAATGCTCTGAGGAGTTGAATTTAAAATGATTGCCTTAAATATAACATATGAAAAACTCATTGACTCACGTGAAACCTAGCTTGGGTAACACTAAATACGCAAATATAGCAACGTTCAATTGGCACAAGTTCTTTCGTTGTCATTACAAAGCGCAGTATAGATTGATGTAGCTACGGTTGAACAAAAACGCTAAAAACGTCGACTCTATAGGCGTATTTCAGGATCCAGTTTGAACAGCAACTAACTTGGGATTGAATTTTCAGCTGCATCACTGCTGTATGATATATTTATATGCAGAGTAAATCAAGCATAACAGTAAATTAAATTAACCGTGAGGTGTAACATTCTGGAATTTGTTGCGTGGATGATTTTTTTATCTAGCGAGCTGGGTTGTAATCTAATGCCTGTTTGAAACATACATTACCAAAGTCAAGATGATGTGATAGTCATCTCAATCGATGGTATTAACACTAGTCTTGCGTGAGTTGCGTCCAAAGATAAATATAGATTAATGTAACTATAAAGTTGATATTCTAAAGTCCGGAATTATACCACAATTGACTGATGAAAGAACAGACTGTTTGCAATGAACCAATCAGCTGCAATTTTAATAAAAAAAGCGACATGCAGATCAATAGTATTGTAATAGCTTATCGTGTAAATTTCTGGCAGTACATTGAATGGAAGCTATATCAGGGCCCAAAATCGGTATACTGCATTGAAATTGGAATTGGAGCAAAAGGGTATATATAGCCCGGCTACCCAATACCCAGTTATATGACCCTGTGGTTTATTATCCTCCACATATAGAGTGGAAAATGGAAGGGGGCGGGAAATTATTACCGTCGTTGTAAAGAAAAATAAGAATTGCAATTTGATATGAAATATTCCGGCATCGTAAGTGTCTCTGATATAATCATACACATATTTATATAATGTACCAACGTACCCATGAACATATCACTCCATTTGGCCAACTTTTTTAAACACTCCTGCAATTATCGATGGACCCGTGATATTTTGACGCCTTTTGCTTTGATACTGAAGCAACTCAGTTTGGCCCCGTTTTTGTTTACATATACGTATTGTTGATGATGGTTTTTGAAAAAAGCTTCGAAGACGAACCAACTGATATATGACCTAAGTGTGCCCGCCAGTATAATTTGAATATCATTCTTTCCATCCTAAAATCATTTTGCAATGTTTTGACAGCCATAAATATTGAACCGATTATTATACAGCTTTCATATCTTGTGATATTGCTTTCGCTTAGCGAGAAAGAATGAGTCATTGGGGAAAATACTTCAAACTTATAGAGTACATATATAGTTAAAAGGTTTTTATATCTTCAAAAAGGTTGTTTGGCATTTGGGTAAATGTGTGTTTAAAAAAATAGGAACACAGAAGTTTTATGGAAGCGGTCCTAAAGAATTTAGCTACTATAGGCTAAATAACTCCAGACCAAAGATTCGCTTTCTGCAAATTTCCCACAATGTATTTTTTTCAATGGTAAATAGAATAAACTAAGTTTCAGAACAGCATTAGTGACCGCTCCTCTTTATTTTGTGTAAAGTCTTCCATTTTTCGATGATTGTTGACTTCAGTTATATATATAGTTTCATAATTATCTGAAGTAGAAGAAGCAAGTCATTGATACTCAGTTATATATCAAGTTAAATGGTATCATGTTAGGCACGGTTGATTATAAAGGCAAGCATGCCATAGGTATGTGGCGTAAAATGAATGAAATACTTTTAATTGTCTGTCGGAAAAGAATAAGATGAATCTCGGAGTACGAGTCTCTGACTCTTGGGGCTAGTGCATGTGAACCCTACGGGTATGATAAGTTGTGTGTAGTTGTAATGATCTGTTCACACGATCCAATTTTGTCGGATCCAATTCACTTCTGATGGATGTTTTATAGTCTGTGAAATTGCAAGTAAATATGGGCAGCAAATTGACTAAACCAATGAGGTACTGCTTTATCAAATAATCCATACGTCAGAAGTAAAAGTTGGCACGTGGTGAACGGGCCTTAAACAGTATAACAGATTTCAAAGTAAATATCATCCCTCAAATTTCAAAATCATTATACTTAGGGCCGACAATGAACGTCCATGGAGGTTGTGTTCACCGTAATGCAATAATGCCTTTAGATAAGAAACGACTATGCACTGAATGCAAGCTTAAAATAAAAAAGCTTATTGCAGTTAAAACCTTTGGAGTATGATTGAATTAAAAATTATACTTACTAGATAGCAATGTCATATAGCTATTTCTATTCTACACAGTATAGCGTTTCATGTATTGAAATATCTTTATTAACCCGATGAATATATAAATATACATGTGAATTGACGAGGATGAGCGAGAAAATGATGTAGTTTAACATTAGTTTCATGAGGAACATCTCGATAAAGAACTATGGCATATATCATATCATATCATATTATATCGTAATATATTGAGACGACAATATTAAGAGAATAAAAAAATGAAGTTGGTTAGAGATGGAATCAAGCCAATATTTCCTGTCAAGACTAGATCTCAATTTTAACTACGAAATACCGATGAAACTCACTTTTTGGCTGTTCTCTTTGCAAAAATATATAAATGAAGGCGAGAAGGAAATTAGAAAACTGGCTATTACAAAAATCATGAGAAATTGCTTGAGTAAATAGAAAAGCGAAAAAATAAAACCGTGCCTTTGTTATAATCCGTCATAACTCAGGGGTCATTTAGAATGAGATGAGCGTTTTAGGGAGCAGCTGTATCACGAATCAAAATCTTTCAACCTTTATCAGAAAAACCCCCAACATAAAACATTGGATTGATTAATTAAACTGATTAGACCGAGGAGACGGATAATTTAAAAACCCACTGTTGGTGAGGCCAACTGTATAGGTCTACGGTTATACTTGCTTATAATGCTGAAATCAGCATTCATTCTGTTTGTAATAAAATTACTTCATTTACTTGTGTCTTATGTACATCCTACGACTTTAGTTGAAAACTTCTTAAATATATATAGATATGTTAGAGAAATCCGGCACTGGTATGTTGAAACGAGCACTTATATTAAGGATAAAGTCTAAAATATAATAAATCGCTAACGCATGCATGAGTGTAAAATTGTCAATTATAGCTAATTAGATTACGTTGATGGCTAATAAAATATAGCACTATAACCGAATGTTTGTTTTCTCAAAACCTCACTCGGACCTTCAGTTCCAAAATGGGACACAAATTTTTCAAAATTGAGCAATCACGTTTTCTATAATGCTATGTTTCAAAATTTAGCGATCACGTTTTCCATGCGACCGTACGCTATGGAATGAATTTAACCATATCGGAATTGATCATGATTAACTATATCGTTACAACAAGTATTCTAATATATTTACCACAATTCCTATTGAGCATTGCAGAATTAAGCGTCCACCAACTATAACCAAACATTTGTGATGTTTCGCTTTGAGGAACTTAAGTTACTCTGACGAATCTGAGCGCAATGTCTATATATATACAATATATATAACAAGGT